AATCACACATACTTAATTTAATCAAATTATAAATTAAATTATAAACTTATTCAAGAAAACATTGTTATAACTTCACAGCTCTCCAATGTTCTTTTTGCTTAATATCTCTTCTATAACTGTGTTTCATGGGACAGCCTTTCCTCTGTTGGGAATAAATTGTGCACATTTAGAATCACACACATTTGTGGCAACACTCAGGGGCAGTGTGACCAGTTCTCTGCACTCCTGGTCACCTTCATTTTTTTCACTGAAGTTAGAGGCTGATGGCAGACCTAAAGCTGAAGTCAAGATTTTGCACAGAGATGGGAGTAGAATTGTGTCTACAGAGAAAGTTAAAGAAGTGCTAGATGGCTCTCAGAGCACGTTGTTTTTAATTTCCAAAAAGGTCTTAGGAAAAAACAGGAGGTATTGCTTCAAATCTGTGAAAGGCAAAGACATGGTGACACATTCCTCCAACCCCTGTCCTCTATAGTTTGAGTGAGAAGAACTGCTAGGAGTCGGAGACCACCCTGAACACTAACTAGTGAGTTCCTAACCAGTCTGGGATGTTCAGAAAATTCCTGCCTCAAAAAAACAAACAAACATTGTAAAGAATTTTACATAGTTGTTAGATATAGAGAAGAATGAGAACATAACATTGATTGACAGCCATTGTGTCCACAGCAAGAACAACAGCTCAGTCTCTTGACCTCATCAAGATGTGAAGTTTGGACTAGGGGTGTAGCTCAGGAATGGCATCCTGGGTTCAATCCCTGAAGTACAAAGACCAAACTAAAAGAGCTGAGGTTAAGAGCACTGGCTGCTCTTCCAAAGGTCCTGAGTTCAATTTCCAGCAGCCACATGTTGGCTCACTGTGATCTGGTGCCCTCTGACCTGCAGACATCCATACAGACAGAACACTGTATACATAATAAATAAATCTTAAAATAGCAACAACAGCAACAGCAGAAAAAAAAAAAAACCAGCATGGGGTAGTCAAACAGTTAGAGCTCAGAAGTCAGACCGGGGTGTACTGTGAAAACCTGTCTCTAAAGAATATTATTAGTAAAGAGAAGACAAAAATATTAAAACTCAAACTACCGTGTTTGTGCTGTTGCTCCTTATTTCTTATTTTAGTAAATCTGAGAATATAAGGAACAAATGAGAAGGCAGTACAGGAGTGGGGGTGAGACTGAAATTGAGGACTGCACAATCATCTCCATTGTTCCCCTAAACACTTTCTTTTAGAGAGATTCTCATGCATCCTAGGCTGTTGGCATCAAAGTCCCCTGTTGCAGAGGATGGCCTTTGAGTTCCTGATCCTCCTTCTGCCAGCTCCAAGGCATGGGATCCTGTGGTGGTTTGAACAAGAATGGCCTCCATAGGCTCTTATCTTTGAATACCTGGTCACCAGTTAGTGGGACATTTTGGGAAAGATGAGGAGGTGTGGCATTATTGGAGTATGTGTGTTATGAGTGTGAGCTTTGAGATTTCAATACGCTCTGGCCATTCCTAGTGTCTCTTTATGTCTGCCTCAGGTTTGTGTCTCAAGAGTGACCTCTCCCTTCCTGCACCAGCACAATGCCTCCCTGCCTGTTGCCATGCTCCCCATTGTGATAGTCATGACCTCTAACCCTTTGAAACTGTAAGTCCCAAATCGAACACTGTACTTACAAGGTGCCTCAGTCATGGTGTTTATCGTAGCAATAGAAGAATAACTAAGACACTACATGCATGTGCCACCACACCTGGGTTTGTACACAGTGGAGGATCCACCCCAGGTCTCCACTCTGCTAGCTAGACACAGACTGTGCCAACTCACCCTCATTCCCAGTGCTACACATTTTCAACTAATTTCAGGAATAATGAGGCAGTATCCGAGGTCATAAATAGAAACCCTAACTCAAATGGGGACTCCTGAGACATTCTGGTGAGGGATTTCTAGAAGGCATGCAATGAATGTATCACATCAGTATTGTGATTTAATAAGGATTAGGAAAAACAGATAGGCTGAATAGATGTTTATTCAGGGAGAAATAACTAATAACAGAGACAGATGAACACCAGCAGGTTCCTAGTCCCAAGGATGCTTCCAGATGCTCTCTGTCCCTGTCCTGCAACCCTGCAATGGAGAGAGCTTTCCTGGGCCCCTTCCCCAGACCTAGTTCCCCCAGGTCATGTCTGCCCCTGTCCCCACCTCCCAATGGCCCTGGTCAGTGCCACAGGTGCAGACAAAGTGAATATCTCACTACACATCTGCTGTGTCAAGAGGGCTTGGTCTGTTCAGCAACAGTATATATACTGTTGCTGGAATGCTGCTTGCAGCTTGCTAGTTTAACTGTTGTGGGTGTGGGGAAGTGTTTCTGCATGGCTCTGTAGGGGACCCTCCCCATCCTGGCCCTGCTGTATGGGAAATCTAATTGTGTGGCAGCTGCCCTGAATGCAGCTTCCTTCCTGTTCTCATCCTGTAAGTGCCTAAATTCAACTCCAGAGAAACACTAGATCTGTCCCTTGCCTTGTTTTTCCTTCCCTTTGGGCCACACCCAGAGAAAATTCAGCCTGGAGCTCAGGTGCAAGAGGAGTCCAGGAGAAAGCTTTCTTTACATCAATGGCATCTTTCCAGATGGTCCGGATCTGGCTAGGTGAATCTTTTAAAAGCCAGATAAGGGTAGGAGAGTTGATAGTACACTCCAGAGAGAGGCAGTCCTAATCTGGCAACTCCTTTAGCAGGTGGAGTCAGGCATGCTTATGCGGAAGCACGTCATTGGTCTGTTCCCCTGTAGTTTCGTTTTCTTTTCCTGAGCTTAAACTTTCGTTTTTTCTAGGTTGGAGTCGGAAATACCTTGAAATTCTGGATTGGTGCGTTAATTCTCTCTAATTTATCGCTTTCGGGTTGTCTGGTGTTTGGTTGGGCAATATAAGGGTGCAGAGTTTGAGGGAGTCTTGAAGAAAAACATTGTTTTTGCTTGGGTGAGTTTGTCGGCTGAAAGGGAGTTGGAGAGGGAGGGGCTTCTGGCCTCTGGCTGAAAATGCAGATGGGGGAGCATGAGGAAAGTGCTTCCTGGAAAAAGGACTGGTTTAAAGATGGCTTTTAGCCAAATCCAGTCCCTTCCTGCCGTTTCATAATCTATAATTTTGAGTTGTACCTTGTCGAAGAGATCCAGAATTCTGTTTTCTAACACAGTCCCTTCCTCTACAGCTTAAGTCAGAGCTCTGTAATGTGTTTTTATGATAATGTGGCACTTCCACATATGCTAAGGCAGTGGTTCTCAATCTGTGGGTGGAGACCCTTCTAGGGTTGCATATCAGATATTTACATTCGAATTCATAACAGTAGCAAGATTCCAGTTATGAAGTAGCAACAAATATAATTCTATGGGCAGGGGTCACCCCCAACATGAGGAACTGTATTAAAGGTCACAGCATTAGGAATGTTGAGAACCACTGCTATAGGGGCTCTTAGGGCTTTTCTGTGTTTAGTACTAGGGGCTCTGTGCCTGTTACCTAGTCACTGACCCAATGTGATAGTCTCAAGCCAGGAAATGACTGCTGTTATTTCCTTCCCCTTCAGCCATTCACTGAAAAGTGAAGTAGTGCTCAACCCAGCTTGAGGATCATAAGCTGAAGGCCTTCATGAACTCAATAAGACTCATTCATAAAATGTTTTTAAAATGTTTGTGACTTAGCTCAGTGGTAGGGAACTTTCCAAGCCTTGGGTTCAATTCCAAGGGAGGGGGAGGAAAGGGATTGCAGATGGGAAAACAAAGGACTGGGAGAGTTGCACATCTGAAGATTTTCCCAGAAGTGACAGCTTTTCTAATGTTTCTTGGAGATATGATACATTGTGTATTACCCAGGCTGGTCTTCAACTCCTCAGTCAGCCCCCATTCCCACTGGAGTCACTGGAGTGGCAGGTGCATATCACTGCTGCTACCCTCTTCTCTACTTTTAAATAATGAAAATTAGATTCTTGCTTGATATGGAAAATATCTAATGATAAAAGATCATAAGAACCCTAAGAGAAACCAGTTTACCCAAGCTAACTTAGGCATCCAGAAGACATCAACAAATCTTCCCATGATTCTGTTGGGTTTGTTTACTTCATTGCATATTATTTAGAAGATGACCACTCAGAGTGACTGGGCAGATGACACATGCCTTTAATCCCGATACTAGAAAGGCAGAGGCAAGAAGATCTTTATGAGTTCTAGGTCAGCCTGATCTACATAGATGTTCCAGGACAGTCAGGACTGCATAGTGAGATCCTGTCCTCAAGATAAATGAATAGATGAGAGAGAAGCAGAGACAAACAGTGAGACATAAAGAGAGATTGAGAGAGACAGAGAGAGTCAACAACTCAAATGATTCATTACATTTTCCTAGGGTCTTTCTGTTTTATTCATTGTATTTCTGGGGGTTTTTGGGGGGGTTGTTTTGTTTTTTTTGTTTTGTTTTGTTTTGGGGTTTTTTGTTTGTTTTTGTTTTTTCATCCCTTCTGATAACTTTTGGCTTAGCTTAGTTTATTCTTCTTTTTCTACTTCACTGAGGCCAAGAATTAAGTTATTTATTTGAGATAGTTGTTTTTGTTTTGTTTTGTTTTGTTTTGTTTTTAATTTTGTTTTGTCCCAGCAGGGTTTCCTGTTAGACTCTCTAGAGTGCTCAATGGAATGCCTTCCATTGTCATTTCATTGTGTAAAGATACCTACCTTTGATTTCTTCTTTGCTCATTAGAGAATGTTGTTTAATTTCCATATGTTTGTGAGTTTTTACCCAAATCCCTCTTTTAGGGATTTCTAGTCTCACATCACTGTGATTAAAAAGATATTGCATATCATTTCAGTCTTCTTACATTTCAGTTGATTGTAGCCCCAGAGGTTATCTTTCCAGAACAGTGTTCCCATGTGTATGTTGCTGTCATTGCTGTGAATGTCATGTATGTGTCCTTAGTGATCCCCTATGTATCCCCCCTCTTTCATCTCCTTGTAGAGTACTTATAATAAGTACACTGATTTTCTCAACAGTGCCCCAAAAATGTGCCTCAACAAAGCAGCATCTTTGTTGTCTCCATGACTTCTGTGATACTTTAAGGTGAGTTTAACTTTCATTCTTAAAAAAAAAAAAAAAAATTTTAATAAAATTTTGATCATATCCTTTCCTCTTCCCCAACTTCTTCCAGATTCTTCACTCCTTTCTACCCACCCAACTTCATGCCCTACTCCCATAAAAATTGAAAATCAGTTTTCTTCAATGCTCACGGAGTATATCAATGACACTCCAAGGCAAGCCCCATGCTCAGAAATAGTTGGTCAATGCAAATGGATTCCACATTTGTTTGTTTGTAGGGTATTTTTCTTTTTTGTGTAACTCTTACTGATTTTTAAAATTTATTTTGACGTGATATTTTCAGGTGAGAGGACTTCAAGTTCATAGACTTTTCGCTTGATCATGTGTGTCTGCTGTTGAAGCTCTCCATTTCAGGGTCAGTTTCATTCACTGAATTATTAGGCTCTGGAATTTCAGTGTTCTTTTATCTTATCAATTTTATGGTTTTCCTCATTAATTGTTATTTGAATTCCTACCTGTATTATTCATGATTTCTATCCCTTGAAGTCAGTTACTAGGATATGATAATAGTTCTTTGATAAAATAATGTTTCTCATTTTTTGATATTTTTGTTTTGTTGTGGTAGTCATTTTGTGTGCCTGTGTGTCTGTGTCTATGTCTGACTGTATCTATCTGTGTCTGTCTTTGTTAATGCCTGCATATTATGGAGCAACTAACTCTTCCAAACTTCTAGTTAGAGTTTATGGGGAAGGATTTACACATTCCATATAAAGGTGGCCCTCGATTAAGTGTGGTGTCTCTAATCCTAAGCAAGTACAGACGTAGACTCTTCACACAGTTCTCTCAGCAGGGCTCAGTGCTTGCCAAGTCTGAAAGTATCTCCATGGCCTGATGTGCAGGAAGGCATTTATGACAGGAGCAGCAACCATGCAGCTTGTTAGCATCCTCAGTAGGAAGGATTGTAGGGAACTTGATACTTTGCCTTTCCAAAGTATGAAGGCCAATGGTAGCCTATCTTAATTATCTGCTCAGAGTATCTGTGGGGTCAGGGATGTATAAAATGAACCGCTGTGGCATGTGTAAGCTGCTTCATGAGTTTCTCACCACCCAAATGCTGATAGATGGTATCTTCATTAGGGTTTCTTTTGCTGTGAAAAGACACCGTGACCAGGTCAGCTCCTATAAAGGAAAACATTTAATTGGGGTTAGCTTATAGTTTCAGAGGTTTAGTCCATTATCATCATGGTGGGGAGCATGGTGGTGTGCAGGCAGACATGGCGCCAGAGCAGGAGCTGAGAGTTCTACAGCTTGATTCTCAAGCAACAGGATGTAAACTGTCTACTGCACTAAGCATAGTTTGAGCAAAGGAGACCTCAAAGCCCACCCCCACAGTGACATACTTCCTCCAAGACCATATCTCTCCAACAAAGCCATACCTCCTAATAGTGCTACTTCCTTTGGAGGCCATTTTCTTTCAAATCATGACAGATGGAGATTACTACAAAGCATGACCTGAGACCCTCAAATAATATAAAATATCTTGGGTTAACTCAGACTAAGCAAGTGAAAGACTTGTATGATAAAAACTTCAAGTCTTTGAAGAAATTAAAGAAGGTATCAGAAGATGGAAAGATCTCCCATGTTCATGGATCTATAGGACCAACATAGTAAAAATGGCCATCCTACACAAAAAAATCTGCAGATTCAACAAATTCCTATCAAAATTCCAACATAACTCTTATCGACTTTGAAAGGACAATTCTCAACTTCATATGGAAAAACAAATCCTGAGCAATAGAAGAACTGCTGGAGGTAATACCATCTCTGATTTTAAGTTGTGCTACAGAGCTATGGTAATACAAACCACATGGTATTGGTATAACAATAGACATGTTGATCAAAGGAATTGAATTGAATGCCCAGACATTTATTGATTACTTTGTTTTGGAATGGATTTCATTTATTGATACAATTTAAAGTCAATTTTGTGATTAAGTATATTTCTCCTCTTGTTTAGATGTTGTGTTTATATAACTCAGAAATGTAATGTATAATTTAGTACAGATTTTAGATAGCTACCCATAATAGTCAAAACTTATAGTTAAGTTAGTTAGGATTTCTAGATATACAGACATGTATTTAAGATGAATAGGCATTCTTCAAATCTTTCAAAGACCTACAGAATATGGCATTTAAAATGGTTTAGGGTTTTTCTTGACAGTGAGACACAATTGCTCCTGGCAACACCACCTGCGTCAGAAAGGAAGATGGACATCAAAGAAATGAGTTATGAAGTTTACTTCCAATATGGCAAGACTAGCCATTTGGACAAGATACTGCTCTTGTCTGGACTGTTGGACTTTATGCTGTATAAACTGGACATGCAGGACCCACAGAAAAGTGACTGCTGATTCAAGATGGACATTGCTACAGAGTTCCTGCTTCATGGAAGAGTCTGCCAGACGGTCTGCAGGACACAGAGAAAAATGACAGTTTAAAGTTTCCTACTTTGCTGAAGAGTCTGCCAGACACACCATGGCCTATGGGCTGAAGATGGAAGATTACAGAAGAACTTCAGGTGACTGACAAGGCGAGATGTCTCTGTCATTTCTAGAGTTTATATACTATCCTTCTGTGGTCTTTGAAGGAGTTGAAGACAGATAGTTATGGTTATAGTTTTCCTTAGTTAAGCTTAAAGATAAGTTACATATAGGACTTTAGACTCACAAATATAGGATAGATGATAGAATAGTTTCTTTTAATCTTGCTAAATGTTAATGGACTAAATATTGTTAACTGTGATTCTTATTTGATAACTGTTATGTTATGTATTTTGCTATGTTATGTCGAGCGCTATCGCCTTGCCTGCAAGAACGACGCTCAACAACAGGATTCTTCTGCAGCTATGTTTATTGCGCGGCTCATTACAGCAAGTTGAGGGAAGACCCCGAGGAGGAAAAAGGGCTCTGCTTATATATGCTCAGAGAAGTTGTGTCTGTTACTGACAGTTGCAGCCCGCAATGCTCGTAACGGTCACCCCATGACGTGGATCGCGTATCCATGCCTTGCTGGCTTATGGACAGGAAACCGGCGCCATCTTCGGGAATGGCACCGGTGGCTCTCTACATCTCCCCCTTTTTTGTTTTATAAACGCAACAGGCAAGGGTAGTGGTCTGATCTCCAGTAACGAGATGGACATTGTAATGCCCCTGAATCCTGGTAGTCAGCCAAGTCAGTGCCATACCCGTCCGGCATCTTTTCCCTGGAGGTGGGGCCTTAGACACCAACCCACATGCAACCAACTTCTCAGAGCTGGCCAGAGTCAACCCGGAGTGCAGTGCTAAGCCAAACAACCTGAGCATGAAGAATTTAGTACAGTAGGCTAAACTAAAGAAGCACCTATCTGCGTGCAATGGGAAAAAACCCCGCAGAACGTTAGGGCTGTTTCTGGTAAAAAAAAAAAAAAATGGACACCCTAATCTTGTGCAATGTCATAGAAGACTCAGGGTGCAAGGGCTGTCCTATTGGACAATTAATGTCCATATTTTAACATGCTTAGCCACACAGTGGGAGAGGAGCCTATCTCCATAGCAGCTAGGGCTTGAGCGATAACCACTTTGCCATGTGCCTGTTGAGCACATAGCTTACACACCAACCAGAGCAGGAGCACCACCCCACCATATAACAGCAGCCCAAACCCCATTACACCCGCCCACTCCTTAAAGTGGGAAAAAGCGGTGGAGATCCAGGAGAACGATCTTTCTGATAGAGAGGCGTCCACACTGGTGGAATTCACATGAACGATGGCCATTCGGAGTTGGTCCATCAGGCTATCAAATTCTCCTGTCCATTCACCTAAAAGATACAGAAAAATTTGTTTAGAAAGGTTTGCAGCTCTTGTATAATTTTCATATTGTACACTGGTGACACATAAACTGGAATATTTCCATTGACAGCCCAGTTGGGCTAGCTGCCAGAGTGTGTCAATTTGTTCCTGCACCAAATCAATTCTCTGATTGACTACCATCAATCCTCCTTTTAATCGTGAATCAATGGAGGCCTGTGATTGGCTAAGATCATGCCATATGGCTTTCCATTCCAAACATTGCCCCATAGTGAGGCATGCTTTTGTGACAAACATCCAGTCTGCAGGGGTCATAGCCATAGCAGACAGTCTCTCTACTTGTGAGGAGATGTAGTTAGCATTAATGCCATAAGCATGGCCAGATTCAGCCAATTCCTTAACCTGCTTATGTTCCAAAGGTTGATGAGTACGATTTCCATCCTCCTCAAAAACAGGAAACATCTGAGTTAACTGCCCTGTTGAAACAAAAATAGAAATCCTTTTCCCCAGGAACTTGTCCTTGAACTTAAATTTTGGAGTCAAAGCATTTTTAAAATATATAAATTGAATTAATCCAGCAACATTTCCTTTAACAGTTGTTTCCTCAGCAGTCAAACAAAAAAAGACAATATAATACCATACAGTATCCAGATTCTCTCCATCTGTGGCTTTTTTATTATTCTGTTTCTTTTCTATTTTATTTTTTTTTATTTTTATTTTTTTTTGATCAGTCTCTCGGGGCTCTTTCACTTTCTCTTTGCTGGCCTTTTTCTTTTTGCGCGCACCCAACTTTTCGTCACGTTCTGCTTCTGACGTGCTTTCCTGATAGCATGTCTATCAGAACTTACCTTATTTTCACGTTCTGCTTCTGACATGCTTCCCTGATAGCATGTCTATCAGAACTTACCTTATTTTGTTACCTGTCTGCCACAGTTCTGAATCCTCTCCAGCTGACTGAAGGGTCCCCCTTGTACTGCCTATGTCAGATTCCCAGGTTTCGGCACCACTTGTTGAGCGCTATCGCCTTGCCTGCAAGAACGACGCTCAACAACAGGATTCTTCTGCAGCTATGTTTATTGCGCGGCTCATTACAGCAAGTTGAGGGAAGACCCCGAGGAGGAAAAAGGGCTCTGCTTATATATGCTCAGAGGAGTTGTGCCTGTTACTGACAGTTGCAGCCCGCAGTGCTCGTAATGGTCACCCCATGACGTGGATCGCGCATCCATGCCTTGCTGGCTTATGGACAGGAAACCGGCGCCATCTTCAGGAATGGCACCGGTGGCTCTCTACAATGTTAAGGTTAAAACCCTTCTTTTTATTTAGACAGAAAAGAGGAAATGATGGGAGATGTCATTCTGTATATGTTTCTCATACTGGTTAATGACTAAAGTACTATTGGCCAATAGGAAAACTAGATAGGCGGGACTAGGAGACGAGGAGGAAAGAGGAAGTAGTAGGGAGGAGTCGAGATGGAGAGCCTGGAGAGGACGGAACTGCCATTCCTCCATTCTCGGTAAGACCATGTGAAAATACATAGAAGTGGGTTAATACTTAAGACAGAACTAGCCGATAAGAAACAAGTAACGGGCCAACAAAATTATATCTAATACAGAGTCTCAGTGTGTTATTTGGGGCTGGCGCAGAGACGGGACAAGACTAGGCGACTGGAGAAAAACCTTACTCTTTACACGAGTGGGTCATGTGGAGATCATGAGGAGATGCTAGGATACAGTGTTGCTCTCCACAAAAGGAAAAGCAGGGCCCCATTACAAAGGACAACATCCACACAGCTCTTTGACTGTAGAGAGATTCAGCTGGTGACTGCATGGAGCCTTTACCTATATGTTCTAGTCTCTTTAGCACGAGAAGGTACTATGTAGGAAAGAGAAACTGGATAGCCCAGAAACCTTGGATCAATGCCTTGTCCAGTTGTCATCAGAGAAGTTTCCTCCATCAGCAGATAGGTACAAGTGAAGAGATGCGCAACTAAACAATGCAGAGAGAGACAGCCTAAACTGGAGGTCTCCAGTCTCTCCCCTCAGAGATCAAGAAACTCCAAGAAGAGGGGGAAAAAAGATTGTAGGAGTCAGAGGGGTTGAAGACACTAGGAAAACATGGCTCATAGAATCAACTAAGCAGGATCCACATGGTCTCATGGAGACTGAAGCAGCAAGCATGGGGACTGCTGAGTCAGCACCAAGTCCTCTGCATGTATGTTATGGCTGTTAGCTTGGTGTTTTAGTGGGACTTCTAACAATGGGAGTGGGTGTGTCTCGGACTCTTTTGCCTTCTCTTAAGACTTTCTTCCTCCTATTGGGTTGCCTTGTCCAGCCTCAGTATGAGAGCTTTTGCATTTTCTTATTTTATCTTGTTTTGTTGTGTTTGGCTTCTGTCTCTTTGGAGACCTGCTCTTTTCTGAAGAGGAAACAGAATGGGTGAGGATCTGGGGACAAGGGAAGGTGTGGAGGGGGAGCTTGGAGGAGTGGAGGAAGGGGACACTGTGGTCTGGATATATTATATGAGAGACAGATATATTTCAATTAAGAAATAGAAGGAAAAAAAAGAAGAAGGAAAGAAAAAGCCTAGAGTTTCAAGCCTTGGGTAGCAGGACATGGTGGCAGCTTAGACTCCAGGGAATGGTGCATATTATGTTTTGACTCTGACCACTAAAATTCATAGTAAATTTAATCTTCAAGTCTATAGGATTAAACGTTGAGACCTACAGCCATCCTGAGAGGATTGTTGTTACTGTTGTAGGAATAACCACTGCTGTTGGGTTTGATTCATGGTGAAAGCATGAGTTTGGCATCCTCACCTTCTTAAACACTCTTGGCTGCACACATCTCCTCTTTCCCTTCAACTTTACATCATGACATGATACAGTAAGATGACCTCTGCAGCTGGGCGTGTTGGCAGACACCTTCAATTCCAGCAGGCAGGTCACTGTGAGTTTGAGGCCAATTCAGCCTATTTAGGGAGTTTCAGGCCCACAGGGATATATAGTGAGATCCTGTCTTTAAAAAAAAAAATCATACACAAAAGTAAACAAAAACAAGAAAATGAAAGACTCGCCAGTTACCAGATGTGATTCCTTCAATCGTAGACTTCTTCCATCTTAGACCTGTAAGAAATAAAGCTCTATTCTTTATAAATTACTGACTCTAATGTAATCTGTTATGGCATATAGACAAAAGCAGTGAAAGGCTGTGGTAGCCCATCATGAAGTGGGCACTGTGTGGTGTGGACCTTGGAATGGTGGACCTCAGTTGTGGCTCTGATCCCAAGGTGTCTGGAACAGTGTGGTTGACAGTGCCACGCAGTAGAAGAAAGGTGGCAGAGTCCTCAGGTCTCAGGAGGTTGGTGACTCCGTGTGGAGGAAGGTAATATCAGTGTCTCAGGGAGAATTTTCAGGGGCAAATTATGGTTTTGAGGAGATAGGGTACCAAGACACTTCCACATAGAAGCGAGATTGCCATAGCTTAACCAGGGCTCCTTTGCCATGAGAGGTGGGCACTGTCAGGTTGGCCCTGGGAAAGACTACTTTATGGTTCAGCCAGATTCAGTGTGCTGGGGTGGTAGGACACTTTTACTGGCAATTACTGTTCTGTGTGCTGGGGTGGTAGGACATTGTTATTGGTAATTAATAAGTGTTCTGCGTGCTGGGGTGGTAGAGCACTCTTACTGGTAATTAGCATTGATTTAGTTTTGCCTTAATTTTAGGTAAGAGCTCTGAGTTAGTTACCTGTTTCAGAATCTGAGGTCTAATCAGTCATTTGAGAAGTATAATATATTCTGTCTCCTAGAGGCTTAGGTAATACCAGACACCCTTCAGTTCCTGCAAAGCAGCCACACTGGCAGTTAAAAACCCAAGGAAATGCCTGAACTTCTGTGGCAGGATGTTCATGCATGCTATTTCTTATACCTAAGGCCTTTGTCTTTTTCCCATAAATCCTCATGTCTTCTATTTGGGAATCTTGGACCACCCTATCTCTACCATTGTTTATATTATAGCCTGTGCATATTTCTAGTCTTGTTTGTCTTGTCTGTTATTTCTGATTTTAATTTGGGTTTTGTTTGTGCAATGCTGGTGACCAAACCTTGGACCCTGTGCATTCTAGGCCAGTACTCTATATTGGAACTATTTTCCAGGTCCTTATTCCCAGAACTCAATTTAAGATAACAGCTGTCAAACTAAATGTTTGGATGCATGTTACTTTTGCATTTTTATCTTAGTTGCTCCTATTGCTTTTCTCCATTGGCTGTTTGTCTTGTACTAGTGCTGTCATGGCCCATCCTTGATCTCTGCATAATCAGTGTTCATTCTGTTCCTCCCTTTCTTACTTGGTCCTCTTTTCATCTTTTCAATCTTGCAGAACCTGAGCACGGGTGTCAAAAGTAAGGATAGGCAGACACAGGGGCACAGCAATTATGGCTTCAGAATTCATGGGGAATGTCAAGGAGGAGGTGACCTGTCCTATCTGTCTGGACCTGATGGTGGAACCTATGAGTGCAGATTGTGGTCACAGCTTCTGCCGAGCCTGCATCTCACTGAACTATGAGTCCAGCAATGGCAAAGAGGGAGAGTTCATCTGCCCTGTGTGCCGAGTGACTTACCCGTTTGAGAATTTGAGGCTGAATCGACATGTAGCCAACATAGTGGAGAAGATCAAGAGATTCGAGTCCAACCCACAAGAGGAGAAGAAGGTGTTTCATTGTGCAAAGCATGGAGAGAAACTCCAGCTTTTCTGTGAGAAGGACAAGGTGGCCATCTGCTGGCTTTGTGAGCGATCTCAGGAGCACCGAGGACACCAAACAGTTCTCATTGAAGAGGTAGCCCATGAATACAAGGTAAGAAGTGGGAGGATGTGGGACACAGAGCAAGAAACAGTACCTGTTGTGAAATCTCTGCTTCTTGTGATCATTCAGTTACTTGATCATCACGGAATGGAGGCCTGAGATTTCATTCTGTCCTGTTACCTTTTAAGGCCTGAAGGAATAGGACTATCCACTGAGCTTACTCATAAAAGAATCTATCTGGGCTCAAACTCTATAGCAAGAGCAAATATGTTTACAGCTTGTTGTATACTGTTGAAATTTTATGTCCAAGAAAAGCTCTGATTAGTCTTTAGTTATCACAGTAAATGAGATGAGGTTTGGAGAGATGGCTGAATGGCTTGTTGCTAACCATAGTGATCTGAGTTTGAACCCAGAAACCACACAATTGAAGGCAAGAACTGATTGCTGCAAGTTGTTCTCTGACCTCTACATACCTGGGGTGGCATAAGTGTGAGTGTACATAAGCACATGCCTGCCCCCCACCACACAAACTCACATACAAAATTAATTAGTTAATTAAAAAGACTATTATTACACCTCATTTCCTCTTTTCTTGCTATCAGTTTCCTCTTGTTTTACACATTAGTGTCAAAAAAAAGGTTAGCTGGGTGTGGTAGCAGATGCCAATAACTCTAACATTTCTGAGGCAAGAGGAACAAGGATTCTTTATATAATGAGGCAATATTATTATTAGTTTGTTTGCTTGCTTGTTTTTCTCTGTTCAACCCTGGCTGTCCTAAAACTTACTCTTGTAGATCAGGCTAATAATGAACCTAGGATCCACCTGCCTCTGCCCCCAAAGTGCAAGGACTAAAGGTGTGTACCACCAATGCCTGGCCTGTTTGCCTTATTTTTAATGTTTATTATCTCTTTGTTTATAATAGATAAAAACTATATGTGTAGCCAGACTGTAGTGGTGCACGCCTTTAGTCCTAGCACTTTGGAGGCAGAGGCAGGTGGATCTCTGTGAGTTCGAGGCCAGCCTGGTCTACAGAGCTAGTTTCAGGACAGCTAAGACTACACAAAGAAACCCTATCTCAACAAAACAAAATCCCTATATGTATATTTGTATGTATATATGTAGATATTCTATGTGCATAATTTATACCACACTCTTTAAAGAAACATAGTAGTCTTAAGATGTCCTGTCTTTCCAGAAGGGTTTCTTGGCCTTTGGTTAAGAGCAGATGCCCTACTAAGCACACAGCTTGACTGTGCTACAATTTCTCTCCCACAGGAGAAGCTCCAGGCAGCTCTGCAGAAGCTGATGGCAGACAAGAAAGAATTAGAGAACTGGAAAGATGATCTTCAGAAAGAGAGAGCTTCCTGGGAGGCAAGTAGGGACCCTTCCTAAGGGAATTAGCCTGATGCCTAAGAGGTACCTGGGCAAGAAGCTCCCTGACTCTTCATTCCCTGGTAGATGATGAGGCCAAGGAGGCTTGATTAGTCCTCTCTACCTATTCCCTTGGAGCTGGGGCTGGACAGTGAGTGCATCACAGCTGAGCCTGGCTAAGTGAGGAGCTCACACCATGGAGGGGCCTGGTGAGAATGGGCAGAGGCCTGGGACTCACTCCTTTGGTGTTTTCTAGAACTATGACTGTTTCAAAGATGCTTGGGAATGGGTGCATCATGAATACGTACTCAGGGTTCAGTTTCTGCTAGGGAATAAGATGCAGGTATGGTGACATGTGCCTTAATTCTAGCATTTGGGAGGCAAAGACAGACAGATCTCTGTGAGTTGGCAAATTCTAGGCCAACTAGGGACACAGGGTGAGGATGGGTCTCAGAATTAAAAAAAAAAAAAAAAAAAACCCAAACCCAAGGGATGGGTGGGAAAATGGCTCAGTGGTTAAATACTTCTTGCTGAATTTGGTTCCTTACACTAACTCATTCTGGGACACCAGATGTTTTCTTCTGGCTTCTGTGGGAACCTAGTACACACATGATACAGGCAGGCAAAACACACACAAACTTAAAATAAAAATTTAAATCTTTTTTTTAATCAAAAAAAAATTTAAAGATCTGTTTATCCTTTTAGCTGGGTGTTGGTGGTGCATGCCTTTAGTCCAAGCACTTGGAAGGCAGGGGCAGATGGATCTCTGATTTTCATGGATCCCAGCCTTGTTTACTGAGTGAGTTTCAGAACAGCCTGAACTACACAGAGAAACCCTAGCTAGGAAAACAAACAAAGAGAACAAAACAAACAAACAAACAAAACCTCCCACAGGGGACATTTTGTCAGACTGAGTAATTCTCCCATTTCTTATCTCTGAAGAATCAAATGCAGAAAGATGCAGAAAATGTTCAAACAGAGTTTAGGAAGCTGGGAGACATTCTGGACTCTGAGATGAAGAATGAGCTGCAGAAGCTGACTAAAGAGAAGAAAGACATTATGAAAAGCCTGGCAGAGGCTGAAGATAAGCATGCCCAGCAGAGCAAGTTGCTAGGAGACCTCATCTCAGATGTGGAGCATCAGTTGCAGTGCTCAGCCATGGAAATGCTGCAGGTAAGACTGCAGGAGATCCCAGCTTCTGAGAGTCAGGAGACCTGGAAGTCATTTCCTTCCCTGTGTGCTGCTGTGATCTTCCTGGTGAGGACATTTAGGGCTCTGTGTGCCCTCCCTGAACTCTTTCCTGAGCCAGGTTCAGAGACTGGGGAATCATTGCTTGTATAAATGACAAGGAGTGGAATTCTATTTTTATTTAGTTTATCAAGTGCAGCACAAAAGATAAAAGTTTGGGGAGATCTGTTGGATGTGTGGGCATCTATGGCATCGGCTCTTTACAAGGCTGTGTGTGGTTGAAGTACTTTTATTTTTATTTTTTAATTTTTTAAACTTTTCGAGGCAGGGTTTCTCTGTAGTTTGGAGCCTGTCTTGAGCTCACTCTATAGACCATCTGGCCTTGATCTCACAGAGATCCACCTGCCTCTGCCTCCCAAGTGCTGGGATTAAAGGCGAGCACCACTACCATCCAGCTTCAAGTACTTTTATTAACTCCAGCTAGTCACTGGCAAACCAGGAACGAGTTATGAGAGATGTTTATATTGTCCACTAGGGTGAGTTGAGGCTTACCCCATCTGCAGTGTTTAAGCAATTAAGTGCACTGGCTGCTCCAGAGTGGCTGAGTTCAATTCCCAGCCCCCATATTGTAGTTCAAAACCACCTGTAGCTGGGCCCTGGCTGTCCTGGAACTCAATATGTAGTACAGGCTGACCTTGAACTACTGACCTGCCTCTTCCTCCTGAGTGCTGGGATTAAAGTGTGCACCACCATGCCCAGTGAATCATATACATACATACATACATACATACATATAGAGAGATTTTTTTTTATTTAATGTGCATAACTGCTTTGCGTGCCTCTATGCATGTGCACCATGTCTGGTGCCTCCAAAGGTCAGAAGAGGTCATTGGATCCCCTGGAACTGGAGTTGGAGTTATAGATGGCTATGAACCACCATGTAGAATAGCAACAAATGTTTGTAACCATTGAGCCATCTCTCCAGCCCAAGTATGAGCTTAAAAGGAAAAAAAAAAAAAAAAAAAAAAAAACCAAGATAGAAAAATTGTCTGTAGTGGGAAATGTCTGGATGCTCTCAGGGGTTCACAGGTTTTAGACATTGTTAAAGCTATGAAAGGCTATAATTAAAAAGCAAAAAAGTAGAGCCAGAGAGATGGCTCAGCCATTAAGCATGCATGCATGCATGCTACTCTTGCAAAGGACCTAGGTTCCATCCCAGAACCTTCATAGTAACTCACTACTATCCCCAGTTCCATGAGGTGTGACACTCTCTGACCTCCATGGGCACCAGGCAGGCACGCATGTGGTGCATAGACATACATGCAGACAAAACACACATAAAATAAAAGAAATTTGAAAAGAAGTTAAAAGAGGAGAGATAATAAAGAAAAAATGTAGAAATAAGAAGGGAAGCCCATGAGATGTTGCCGAATAGTCTTGCAAAGAATGCCAGTGAGTAGACTGTGGAGAAAAGAAAAAAACAAAACAAAACAAAACAAAAAAATCTCAAAGCCTAATTGATCAAGTCACAGATAAAAGCCAAACAATAGACTGGCATATGCAAGAATGGAATATATAATGATAGGAAATAATTAAAAAGAATACGGTTAGAGTGAATTTCTAACAGTTGTGCTGAGTGGAAAGATGAGCTTCTCAGATCCCTAGAAGGTTCTACTTGGTGCTGTGGCAGAGGAGTTAGTGGCTCCCATGTTCCCTGTGTACTGGTGTGTGAGAAGGATAGGCTCTAAGTCCTTGAGACCCCTGCTCTCCACTGTGATGTCTTCTGGTCCTGGTAGTGCTTTGCCTCAAGCAGCTTTATTTTCCAGCATGGTGTCCACTCTGGTAGTAGACTTGGCTATGGGAGTCCATTTGTGGGGAAGCTCCTGCTTTCCTACATTGATCTCTGCTGCCTAAATCAGATCATTTACAGACTATCACTTGCAGAAAACAGCTCCTCATGTGTTATCATGACTGTTTTCTTTCATAGAGTTTCAGTTGCAAGGATTCTCACCCACCATCTTAATGAGAAGTCGTAACTCCTGTTTTTTCTCTTCCTATCTAGGGTGTGGATGACATCATAAAATGGTATGTATGGCTACCAGTGATAGTCTTTCTGTGTGGTAAGAATGACTTAGTTTTCAAATAGAACAAAGTTTCTCCCAGGTTGAGGCAATTTAGATGTAGTATTGAATTTCTGATTAAAAAACAGGAACTGAATATTTTGCCACTATTGAGAATAGATTAGAGTCTATGATAGAGAAATGGGTTGTGGGGAACTGTTTGGCTCAGTGGTGGAATTCGGGATAAAAGATTAGGGTATTCTTACCTCCATTGTGATTTCAGCATTTTACTCATCCTTTGTGCCTGTATGTGGATCTGGATTTAACAAGTGATTGGTTTATGGTAGATAGGATGTGTCTTCGATGTCTGCAAAGTACAGAACTGTCCATTAGGAAAATTCCTGTATGTTCATATTATTTTCTCCTGAGACTAGAAGACATCAAGTCTTTCTGGATGTGTTTAGATTTACAAAAATAGTCTTGAATCTCTGCGCATAACACTTTGCTACAGGCATGAACAACTGATCCTATACTCTACAGGAGTGTGGAAAGACAATATCCTTGTGTCCAGATAGCACACCCACATGGCCACACCAAAGAGTTTCCTAAGACACTAGCATCATATTCGTATTAGTTTGATGTCCTCATCTTTTCCAACTGTTTGTAATTTTCCCAAGAGATGTCATCTATTCTCTATATTGGCTAAAGGTTTTGAAGACATTGGACTTTTCCAGATGTACTTCCCATACTTGATTTGCTTTGGGTGTAGGTTCTGTACCTGCTTTTTGATCCTTTCCCAAGAACCCATGTTCATGAAAATATTTTCCCACACATTTTTCCCCACATACCTTAGTTTTTGTTTGCTTTAAGATTTTATTATTCCATCATCTCTTGTGAGCGCAAGGAAGCAGAGTGGGATAAAATAAATTGCTTACTTTTTAGAAGGCAAGAACCATGATTCTGAGAACATACAACCTTCCCAATACCACATTGAAAGTAAGTTGGATGGAACATGGTTGTATTTTCCATATCCCCAGCTGGCAGACTACCCTCTTCAGCATCCTCAAAAGACCTCAAGCGTGTCTGTGGTTTGAAATGAGAGGAATTCTGTGGTGATTGAGTTCATTAAGAGGGACTGGAGGTCAATTGTTTTTATCCCTAGGAGTCATGCCTTTTCACTCATGAAACCCAAAACCATACCCAAGGAACGAAGAAGAGTGTTCCGAGCCCCCAATCTGCAAGGCATGCTGCAAGTGCTGCAAGGTGAGGAGAGTTGTGTTACATGACTTGGCTTTGGGATTCTAGTGGCTTCTAGATATGAAAAAGGAAGATTAGATACCATGTACGGATGATTTGATCATCTCTGATGGGACATGACCATCTTTGACCCTGTTACGGTTTTCAGTTCTTCCCCTGATCTAGAGAAGAAATGAACTTTAGAATACCTTTGTTTGCATTTAATATTGTGAATTTTTATCATTTCAGAGTTCATAGAAGTCCAACGCTACTGGGGTAAGGAGAAAACACAGCACCATAGGCTACCTGTGTCTCACTGTCTTGCAGAGTTTGTGTTTCTGTTAGGCCCTTGTTGCTTCTCCCAAGATATGTAGTATGCTTCTGCAATCTGCCTCTGCTGTGATTTCTACACTGAATTCCTTTCTTCTTAAACTTATATCCATAACAAATAAGGCTGTTTCCTGCCCTTATGACACTCACTCCTGTCATTTTTGTGCAGTTCAAGTGACATTGATTCAAAACAACAATCCAAACATTGCCATTACTGCTGACAAGAGACAAATAAGATATGAAGAACATCAAACAAGAAATTTTGCACCTGGGGCTGAGAACTGTCATGAAGGTGTCCTGGGCTACCCAGCTATCCAATCAGGAAAACATTATTGGGAAGTAGATGTGTCCGGAAAAGGTGCCTGGGTTCTGGGATTAAGTGATGGAAGCTACCTCTTCAATCCGATATTTTGTTCAAATGCTGAAAGACGCCTAGATCCCTTATTTCGTTTGGGTATCAGCAACGACTCACATTATCAACCTAAATATGGCTTCTGGGTCATAGGATTGTGGAACAAATGTGTGTATAATGCTTTTGAGGAGTATGCTTTCACAGCCAAACCCAAAGTCTTGACCCTCTCTCTGATGGTTCCTCCCTGTCGTATTGGCATTTTCCTCGACTATGCAGCCAGCACTCTCTCATTTTACAATATTTCCCACCATGGGACTCTGATCTATAGATTCTGTACAAGTTCCTTTCCTGATAGGGTTTTTCCATATTTTAATCCTATGGGATGTTCAGAGCCAATGACAGTATGCTGGCCAGACTCTTAAACCTTCATCTGTTTCTGTGCAAGGCCTCTGGCTCTGGTATGTATCTCATATGACTGAGCTCATGGATAGCATTTTACCCGTGTGTGTGTGTGTGTGTGTGTGTGTGTGTGTGTGTATACTGTCTCTAGTCTTCCTGTATGAGCACTGCTAAAGAAGATATATTCAGTTCTTTGGCCCATGTTCTCAGTTCTTTGGGTTTTTTTTTTTTTTTTTTTAGGTGAGAGTAGTAAATCATTTCCCATATATTCAAGGACAAGTGTTTGAGTCATTGTTATGTGAGATAACACTGCTGCCAAATTCTTCTTTTATTCTCCATGCAAGAGATGGAACCTAAGACCTCGTGCATATGAAGAGGTGTACCACCACTGGGCGACTTGCCTCACCACTGCCATGTCTCTGTAAACCTCATTCTGCATCAATGAAAGAAGATGAAATAAATTTTTCAACAACTTGTCTATTAGTTTTGAAAGTTATATGTAGGAGTCCACAGTTAAGAAATTCACGCTTAAAGCTGGGATTGGTGGGTTGTGCCTTGAATCCAAGTGCTCGGAAGGCAGAGGCAGGAGGATCTCTGTGAGTTTGAAGCCAGCCTGGTCTACAGAACAAGTTCCAGGACAGGCTCCAAAGAAATACAGAGAAACCCTGTCTGGAAAAAACAGAGAGAGAGAGAGAGAGAGAGAGAGAGAGAAGTGCACCTTAACAGTAGGCCATTTTCACCATGAATTAAGGAGAAAAGGTCACAAATGATACACCCTGAAAGTAAATGGTGTGCTCATTTAGGCAGCATTACTACCAAAAGTGGAATGATGCAGACAAAATTAATATGGGCCCTGCCCAAGGATGACACACAAATTCATGAAGTTTTTTGTTTGTGTTTGTTTTTTGTTTGTAGTTGTTGTTGTTGAGATAGGGTTGCTCTGTGTAACAACCCTGGCTGTCCTGGTACTCACTTTGTAGGTCAGATCAAACTGGCCTTGAACTCACAGAGATCTGCCTCCTTCTGCCTTCCAATTAAAGGCATTTGCTACCACTGCCTGGCGCATGTTCCATATTTTGGAAGAACATTAATGTCCTAAAACATCACACACACACACACACACACACACACACAGGGAGAGAGAAAGACAGAGAGAGTAATGTGTATCCAGAGTACCTGTCCTGGTTCTAAGCATGGAAGCAGTCCCAGGATGAATAACATACTTTAGCAGATGTGCTTATTCTCTTATAATTTTGCCATAAATACTGCAGATGCTTCAAGCCAGTGTAAGAAAGTAAATATGAAGCTCAGCCATTGTCATTAACCTGGGTACCTGGTTTGATCCCCTGAACCCATATTCCTAAAGCCTTTCCTCTAAATTCCACACACACTGTGGCATATAGAGACCCACACACACACATAAACACAAAAGGAGCAAATACAATTTTTTGTAATAAGAAATTTGATAAATATAGAGCAGTATAACTAAGAAGCATCTTAGTGTTTGTGCTGTGAATTATTGGAGATATGTACCATATTTTAGTGTACCAGGAACCCATGGGCAAATGGGGGACAAAGGGTGGCTTTCTACAAGTCTTATTCCTAATTCCTGGATAATTACTATCATGACCAGATCACTCCAGCTTTTTTCATGGGTGTCTATGTATATGTATAGGTATGCTTCTTCTTTTTCACACATAAGGGTAATTTAGTGCCTTATCAAGAACTAAATTCTGTGATACTCAGATTATTTTTAGTAATTATGACCATACTGGCAAATTTATATTTCATTGTATTATAAACCATAAACCACACCAAAACTATAAAGAGAAACCGTATCTTGAAAAACCAAACCAAAGAACTAAAAAATATAAACAGTAGTCTTACTAGAAACTTGCTTTGTTTCAGCAATCCAGTATGGTGTCTTATTCCATGGGGGTCAGTCCTTATCACTGTGACTAAAATAAATTATTAAGATTGTATTATCAGAACCTTTTGTGGTAGCTCATGCATCCCATCCCTGAACCTGGAAGGTTGTGGCATGATTTCTGTGCATTTGAAGCCAGCCTCGAGTACAGGGTAAGACTCCATTAAAAAAGAAGAAGGAGGAGGAAGAAGAAGAAGGAGGAGAAGAAGAAAAGAAGATATATTGGTTTACTCCAAAACTATTAATCCACTTTGTTTTAAGAAATAGAAAAACTAGATTTCAAACTCCCATATTTTTTTCTGGTTTTGCAATAATCATTTCTGTTTGTTAAAAATAAATATTAACTTCAGAGCTGTCTGATCTTATATTTAAAATTTCTTCTATAATTGTGTTTCATGGGAATTCCTTTCTTCTGTAATAAATTTCATTGTATATTGTGACCAGTTAGAATCACACACAATTGTGGCATTTATCAAGGACAGTGTGGCCAGGGCTATGCTTGCCTGGTTACCTTCAGCCTTTTCACAGAGGTTAGAAGTTGATGGCAGACGTAAAGGACAAAGTCTATTGTTTTTAAGGTTTACTTTATTATTTGGAGTGTATGGTTGTTTTACCCACATGTATGTCTGTGCACCACATTTATGCCTGGTGCCTGTGAAGGTGGTGAGCCTCCATGTGAGTGCTGAGAATCAAACCCAGGCCCTTAACCAGAAACAAGTGCTCTTAACCACGGAATCAACTCCCCAGCCCAAAGTCTGTTACCTTTACAGAGACAGGAGAATTGTCTGCAGAAAAGTTCACATAGGGCTAGATGGTTGTCTGTGCATTTTAATATTTAATTTCCAGCTCTTTCCCAACAGTTCTAAGCTACTGGAAGAAATGTACATTTTGTCAGATAGCCTATCTCTACAGTGTTTAGCCATAGAGTTTCTCAACTTCAGGTAATATACTAGCCTGATGGGACTATGATCACAAAACTAGTAATAAGATCTACTACATATATCTTATCTAGATTATATGTTTCTAATAGATAGATTAGATATCTGCTAAATTAGATAGATGAGATAGATGAAATTAGAACTGCTCCACACGAGGTTATACATATAGGATCAAATTGACAAGGAAGAATTGGAAGACAATGGGTTAATATTTAAAATATCCCAAATATCACCACCAGGTGGACGAAAGAACAGAAATTTCCTTTGTGTGTATGTGTGTGTGTGTTTTGTTTTGTTTTTCCAAGACAAGGTTTCTCTGTGTAGCTTTGGAGCCTGTCCTGGAAGTCTCTCTGTAGACCAGACAGGCCTTGATCTCACAGAGATCTGTCTGCCTCTGCCTCCTGAGTACTGGGAATAAAGGCCTGCATGACCACCACCCAGCAGAAATTTCCCTATGATACTGGATCCAGAAGTCCAAAATCAAGTTTTCTCCCATTTTTCCCCTTCAATCTTTCACTGGTCTATAGGTGGATCACTTCTCACTTTCCACAGCTGCAGTTCAATATAGATATTTTAATGCAGGCTTATACAAGAGGGTTAAGACAAAAGAGGTCCTCACAAGACACACCTGAGAGCATGGGTGAGAGCTTTTCAAAGAAATTATTCTCAGGGAATAAGACATACCCAACTGAAGCCCTTTGCTGTGTTTTGTGTTAATGGTTTTGGCCCATGAACATGGGGCCCCAAGGACAATCTTCTTTTAAGAGAAGTTACTAGATCAAGACCAGGGTCCTTTCTGCCCAACTGTCCATGTTGCTTCTTTGAGTGGATGTTGAGCTCTTCCTGGGTTTCAGGCACCACTCCCACACCTTTTGGTGTGGTTGACCGTCCATTGCTTTTTTCTGAGCTGGCCGGTGAATGTCCTCTTATTTTGTTTCAAAGCATCTGTTCAGAACTTACATTTCTTCAGTAGCATCTGCTGGTTCCTCTTCCACTCCTTTAACATCTAATTCTGCACTGAGGTGATGTGCCTTCCCACTTACTGGAACATTGCCCTTTTTAGTTTAGAAACTGTATGAGCTCTTGTTTATAAAGACACCAAAGAGAAGAGACATATGCTCTTCTGCACAATATGGTGTGGGTATTGTAAGGACGGAAAAATTTAGCCTAATTTTCCCTAGACTCTGCCCCCTAGTAGTGAGTAGGCAAAAGGTCATTCCTGACTATTTAGGACAGGCCGGGTTACCGACAGCACCTGTGAGTAAATAAAAACAGAAAATGAGCCGTGCCATACTACCCAGAATCCCTAGCGAAAGCAGACTTCCTGGGCTAAGCGTGGTCTTGGATAGTTCAAATTGATTGGTCCATACAGGGTGCTATGAGATGATTGGTTGGTGATGCGCGGGCTTTGTTGTAACCGTATAAAAACTGTCTGAACCCTGTACCCAGGGTTCCCAGTCCTCTACCCCACGTGGAGTATGGCTGTGGACCCCAGGGCCGCCTTTCCTGAGTCAGGGCGTGAGGTCCACTCCCTCCGAGGGTCTTTCAGGTATCAAGGAAACCCACCTGATGGTGCAACAGACCACCAGGGAAGCTCATGGTGACATGACCTTAACTACATGGAAGGTAGCAGCATGGTTCACCCAGACAACCTGTGTATCTATGAGGGGTGAGCACTCGGTGTCTAGGTCCCCTTGTTCCATAAACACACAGAATAAACCCAAAGCACAGTGGGAGGAACCAACTTTAGAGTGAGACCTAACTGTTGCTTTTATCACATCTTACCTTAGCAATGATAAACTTACCTAATAAAGGGGAAAGAAAGATTCTGTTGGTAAGGAATTCTTCAACATGACATTATTATTTGATTTCTCCAATAATGTGCCTTTCCACTTATTTCTCCAAAACAGAGTTTGGTGTATTAACAAGATAAAAGGACAGATTAAATTTAGCTGCAAATATGAGTTATGATAATCTAGAATGGCATTGAACTCCAACCATTTTGAAAATTAGAACTACTCCACATGAGATCACACATAGGAGAGATCAAATGTTAAGGAAGAAAACCTAGCATTTGAAGACTATGGATTATTTAAAATACTCCAAATATCACATATTTCATTGAGTGCAAATGACTATAGGCACAGGGGCTAATGACAGTCAGGTCTTGTTAAAAGTTTGTGATGACTGAAGCACAAGATTTTGGGGTTTTGCCTGTATGCCAACATCCCTCATCTAGTATCTTTATTTCTTTCTTTCCTCTTTTTTTTAAATTTTTTAAACTTTCAAGACAGGGTTCCCCTGTATAACAGCCCTGGCTGTCCTAGAACTTGCCTTGCAAATCAGGCTGGTCTTGAATTCATTGAGCTCTGCCTGCCTCTGCCTCCCAAAAGCTGGAATTAAAAGTGTAAACCACCATCACCTGCCTACCTTCATTTCTTTAGGCCATACTTTGTTCTTGATTATTTTTCTTTACATATAATACTCCTATCATATGTTACATGTTATTCTGTTTGGAGGCTGATCTATGATAGCCAGACTTCAGTTCTGAGTGTATTAAGTGTGCACCAAGCAAAATAGACCATCTGTATCTAGTGTTTCTGGTACAGCATCTTCTCTGTGGAAAATGTTTCCAACTTCCCATTCCTATTGCAGGCAAAGTTATACCATGGGACAATAACTTACCTTCTCACTATTCTCAAGGACTAATGTTTTTTAATACCCTTGGGCAATTTGCTGTTCTCCTTTCTTGTCATATCGTGGGATTGTTGTCCCTCTAGACAAGGGAATCTCGGAGGACATAGGATAAACATGCTTATTCCTGTGACTTTATTCCCTTACTTCTCTTTCAATAAGCACAACATTGCATGCCAGTGTGCTAATTGCTAATTTATATTACAGATATGAATGCTATCATATACAGAGAACAAAAAAAATTTAAAAAATCAGACTTGTGTCTTTGTGATACTAATGCTGGTATGATCCAGGGATTTCTTCCTTAATGCCAGGGCCTGGACCAAATAAAATGAAAAGAGCAACCAGAGAGAATGTATGCATTAACTCATTGCTCTGTGCTCACAATTACATATGTAATGTGTCAGCTGGGTGGTAGTAGTGTACACTTTTAGTTCCAGCATTCTGGAGGCAGAGGTAGGTGTATCCCTGTGAGTTCAAGGTCAGCCTGGTCTATAGATCTAGTTCCAGGACAGGCTCAAAAGCCACAGAGAAACCCTGTCTCAAAAAACAAAACAAAGAAACAAAAACAGATGTAATGTGTCTAGCCATCCCAAGCCCCTTTATAGTAGGGTTTTCTTTTGGGCTTCCCACTCACAAATAATGACACAGAGACTTTTTAATTACTAAAGCTTGACCTCAGCTTAGGCTCATTCCCAACTAGATTTTTTTCCCCTCTTATTACTATCTATATTTATTATTGAGAAACAAAAAAGTTGGGGCCTTCTTTATCTTGAGCGAGTCTGTTGCTACTCATTTCAGATTTTAACTTAGCTTCAAAAGAAAGACAAGTGCTCATAGGTGGTAACTACCAAGAGGATATTCAGGTGTTTTACCACAGCTCACCTGAACACCAAGAACTGTTCCTTGTAGCAGCTGTTCCTAGGTATGGTACCATCTATTCAAACAAATGTAGAAGCTCATACTTTTGCAGTTTTTGAACCCTAAAAGGCCTTAGAAATGTACTAACATCTATTTTAAAAGCTTTGTAAAATAAAACTAGAAGCCAGGCAGTGGTGAAGCGTGCCTTTAATCCCAGCACTCGGGAGGCAGAGGCAGGCATATCTCTGTGACTCTGTGAGTTCGAGGCCAGCCTGGTCTACAAGAGCTAGTTCCAGGACAGCCTCCAAAGCCACAGAAAAACCCTGTCTCGAAAAATGAAAAACCAACCAACCAAACAAACAACAAAACCCTAGAGGGCTGGGAAGATGGCTCAAATGATGAAGGCACTTGTTGTCAAGCCTGAAAACTGTGCTCAGCCCTGAGATTCACATAGTGGAAGGAGGAACCTGATGCCAGTATTGTCCTCTGACCTTCACTTAAGGATGTGGCTTGCCACAGGATTGAACTCCTGGAGTCTTGCTGAAGAAAGGGAGGAGGTTTTGTATGAGCCAGGGGTGGTCAGGATGGGGGTGAGTGGGTAGAGAGTGGGGGGGGGCTGCACAGAAACAGCTGACCTGGGCTCATAGGAGCTCACAAACTCTGAAGTGACAGTAGGGAGCTTCCGTGGAATTGCCCTTGTCCTCTGAATGTGTGTGATAGTTATGTAGGTTGGTCTCTTTGTAAGCCTCCTAATAGTGAAATCAAGACCTGTCCCTGGAGCTTAGCTGGCTTTTGAGAACCCATTCCTCATGCTGGATTACCTTGCCCAGTCTTGACACAAGGGGAGGAGCTCGGTTCTGCCTCAACTTGCCATGGTTTGACCAAGTCCATAGGAAGTCTGCCCCTTTCTGAATGAAGGAGGAGTAGTGGAAAAGGAGGGGGGTAGATGGGGAAGGGGTGGGTGTGGTGGAGATGGGGCAGCTGGGGACTGGGAGGAGGGGAAACTGAACAATAAATGAAAAAAAAATTATTTAAATTTTAAAAAGGATGAGGCTTGCACACCTGAGTAACAAATAGACAAATGTGTTGCTAAAAATGAAACTAAAATCAGGGCAGCTGAGAGCAGAATTTCAGAACTTAGATCCTGAAATCTCAGTAACTGCTCAGAAGGGCACAAAGCTATTACATAGAACAGACATGTGGTTTATTATGTCCAGAAATTATAAATATACTATGCACAAGACAGTCAAGTGAGCATTTTATATTTACTGATATTTAGTTTCATACAATAATCTTAAGTTATATGCATTTCAATTTTCAGCTTAAAAAAAAAAACCTCTGAATTTATTACAGTTTATAAGAGGCAGAATTTCAATTTGTCTACCAGACATAACCCCAACTCTAGGCTATACATTACTGCTTATGTTTTCTATTCCTTGACTCTCTGTGGAACATGAGGTATCCTGGGAAAACCAACATATTCTCATTAGTGGTGGCCAGAGGGCCAGTTCTTATGGATTGTCTTAAGTAACACGGGTGAGTGGCTGGCTGGCTTTATCACATTTCTTGAAGACAGAGGGGAAATATGGAAATTGGAGGGCATGGAGGTCATTCTGATTGATTTAGCTAGCTTTCAGCTTGATTAGCTGTCTTTGAGTATATGAACAAGAGTGGTAAGCATCTCTCCTAAATGATTCTAGAATCACCACATCTAAGCATGACCAAAAGTTTTTAAGTATGAAAAGGGAGACCACAGGAAAAGATGCCTGAATGTCCAGATGGAGGGGAGCCTCAAGGCAAAAAGTAATACCAGAAATGGGTGAGAATGAGAAATGTCAGGAGTTCAGAGGACACAGGGTCATGGGGGCTGGGCAATCCCATGGATTGAAGTATGGATAAACAGGTTGGGAAAAGCAGCATTGAGAGAACGTGTAAATGGGTGACCCCTGGTTTGTGACATTGAAGAAGGACACTATGCCCTCTTCACAGTCAAGGAAAACCCCAACCCGATGGAGAGGGACAGACACAAAGGGGGTCAGAACTGTAGGATCACAGTTGGAAGAATCCTCAAAAATACTGTACTTTGATCCATCCTGCAACCCTATTACCCAGTAGCCATTCTGAGGTTTGTATCTGTGGTGAACATTTGGCTGATTTTTGCCTCGTCTAACATCAAACTTTAAAGTGCGTTTTCTAGCGTAAACTCCCAGGGTCCAGGCACTCTTCTTAGACACATCCACTTCCCAGTAATATTTTCCCGAGGAGAAACATTTGGAGCCCAAGATACCATTATTATAACACTTAAATGGCCAAATGGGCACAGATGTCACTTGTCTGTGGTCTTCTGAAAGAATCAGATTCAAATTTAGGTTTTCTGGATTAAATGTGAAGTCCACTGCAAGGGAGAAAAGAAAGAAAAAGATGAGGGACACGTACAGTGGCAGCCTGTTTCATGATACTGTGAAAAGCAAACACTGGAAGGATTAGGAGAAAATAATATTGATTGATTGAGGGAGATGGTAAAGCAATACAAACATATTATATGGTGGTTGTTTTAGAGCAGGGTCTTGTTAAGTAGCCCAGGTTAGCCTTAGATGTGCAATTCTCCTGCCTCATCTCCCTTGTGCTTGGATTATAGGCATGTACCACCAAATGAAACCTTAGAGGAACATATATGTACGTGGTAACTCAGGAGACGAAGGTGATAAAACCTCACAGAACCAACACTTTGGAAAGATGATCACAACACAGTGATTTGAAGATCTGCAACTTCTTACCCCAGTAGCCCCGGACAGATGTTAGCTCTGAAACAATAAAAGATTAGATGACTTTTATGAGAAGCAAAAACTTGGAAATACTTCTCTCTAGAGGGAGGAAAGGCTGATATAGTGAAGCTACAAACTGGCAAATGAGAGGACAAATCAGTTAGTTCTCCCTCAGACACAACTGTATCTTCTTCCTCACTGAATTCCCCTCCCTGACCCCCATGATCTCTAGACCTTTCCCATTAAACTTACTCCCTGACACATGAGCCCTATTTGCACATTTCCTGCTGTGCTCCTCACTCACCTCTGAACTTTCTGAGCATGTCGCTCAGATCAGGAGCTTGGAATACCTTCTTCAGTTTCTTAGAAACCACTTTTGGCTTCTTCAATGTCCAGATCTGACTCCTAGGGATGAAGAAATATTTTAACCTTTACATCTGTCACATTGTTGTCTCTCTAACAAACTGCCTTCATCCCCTTCCACATCTTTGTACTTCATACATGAGGAGCCTCAGGGAAAGCCCTGACTGAATAGAAGCCATAGCCTCTGTGAAATGTCCCCACTTACCTGCTGTGTGAGACTGGGATTACTTAGACTTCCTGAAATCACAGTTGCCTCTCCTGAATATGGGCTAACTTATACCTCCCTTGAAATCTCATGGAAATAATACAACTCTGGGTGAAGAGCAAAGGGAAAACTTTGCTGCCTCACTGAAGGCAGGGTGAGGACACATAAGCCACAGGTCCTGACTGTTATGTATGGCTCTGCCCAGACAGCCTGTGAGTTTTTGAGCAGTCCAAAGCCTGGATTCTAGTGGTATCCCACATTAGGGGAAGAACAAAGCCAGAACCCCAGTGGTGACCCACATCAGAAATAACAGAATGTAGTGGGGAAAGTTTACCAAAAAAAAAAAAAAAAAAAAAAAAAAAAGTTATGGCTTAAAATGAGCATAGTCAGGCAGATATAGCAGCTCCTGCCTGCAATCCCAGGACATAGGAGGCAGAGACAGGAGGCTCAGCAGCTCAAGGCCAACCTCATCTCCTCAGCAAGTTCAAGACCAGCTTTGGCTGCATGGACCCCTGTCTCAAAAAACCTAAAACAAACCCCCAAATAAGACTAGTTCTAATTCCATGTGTGTTTAAAGGGAGTTGATGCTATCAGATTGGCAATTACAGATTCAAGGATTATACATTAGCATCAAGAGTTTGTAAAGCTTGCCAAACAAGAGATTAGTTATTGGAAACTTGGATAAGAATCACAAACTCCAAGGTGTAAGTCAGTAGAAATCTATTCTCAGTGAACCAAATAAGTGTAAAGAGGAGTCTCTGTGTCCTGACTTAGGTGTGAAGAGTAGTCCCTGTGTCCTGTCTTAGGCCTTGGTCAGGCTTTCTGGCTACAAAACACCTATGAAATAGGAGATCCGGGACTGGCAGTAGAAATAGAATGTGAAACAGTGACATTAAGTCACAGGAAAATGACTACTCTGAATTCTATAATGCCCTTTGTGGCCCTAACTCTGACTTAAACTGACACATTTATTACCATTGAGCCTATTTCACTCTGTGGGGACAAGAAGAACAGGTCTTTACCTAGGACCAGCAGTTCTAGATAATGTGGCATCTGTATGTCCTTGATCTTGCAGAGATTTTTCCCACGGGTATAAAAAATATTTGTAATGGCTCCTGTTTTAGCTAGGGTTTCTATTGTTATGATGAACAGCTTGACCAAAAAAACTTGGGGAAGAAAGGGTTTATTTTAGCTTAGTCCATCAAGAGGGGAAGTCAGGGCAGGAACTCTAGGCAGGTACTTGAAGGCAGGAAGTGAAGTAGAGACCATGGAGGCTTGCTGCCTGATCCTCAGGGCTCATTAGCCTGCTTTCTTATAAAATCCAGGACCATATGATACAACGCACATCAAACATTAATCAAGAAAATGTCTCATAGGCTTGCCTACAGGCCAGTCTAATAGGTTCATCTGCTCAATGGAGGTTCCCTTTTCTCAGATGACTCTAGCTTGTGCCAAACTAACAAGAAACTAATAGGGACAACTACTATTCCATCTTTATTACACAAAAAGCACTGCTTGGAGTTACCCATACGCACCATTTCAAGATACCGCTCATATCCTAGGGAGAAGAAAATAAAAACACAAGTCACAGGGTGTGAGAATCAGAGCAGGGCTAGTGAAAAAAGCAAAGCAGGAGGAGGGGATCAAGAATAAGTTATTTTATCTGTATTTTTTTTCTAGATAGCTTCTCTAGATGTGCCTCAGGGCAGTACGGAACTGATCCCCCTGCTTCAGTGCTGAGGTTACAGATAACTGCCAGCAAAACTGGATAAAAAATATGGTTTCTTTCCTTGTCCTTTTTTAAAAGTTATGTCAAAATATCAACAAAACTGGCAACCCTTAGGCTAAACACACCAGGAAAAAAAATAAAGAAGAGGTGCAATTTTCAAATGGAGAAAAGATGAGACATTGGCCAGAAGGTGGTAGCCTTTATTCTCAGTACTCAGGAGGCAGAGGCAGGCAGGTCTCTGTGAGTTTGAGGCCAGCCTGGGCTACAGAGTTCCAGGATAGAAGAAATTAAAAAAAGAATTATGATGGCACATGCCTTCAATCTCACCTCAGAGTTAGAGGAAAGAGTTGGGCTACATAATGAGACCTTGTCCCAAAATAACCAAAACAAACAAACAAACAAAAAAAAAAAAAAATCTGAAAACCCCAGGAGCTGGGATGTAGTTTAAAGGTAGAATTTTTACTTAGCAAGTGTGAGGCCCTGGATTGAATGCCTCAAACGCTTCCCCATCCCAGTTTGTTGTGTTATAAACAAATTAGGCAAGTTAGAGGAGACAGACAAATTCCCAGAAGTACAGAAGCAGCCAATATCAATTCAAGAAGAGAAAAAATATTATAGGATGAAAACATGAAAAGAGATGAGATTTGAAATCAAACTTCATGCAAAGAAAGGCCAACCATGGCTTTACTGTTGAATTTTTACTCAAAGTTTAAAAGGGTAAGTAACTCAAAGTTTAAAAGGGTAAGTAACACCAATATTTTTAAAATTCCTCCAAAAAATATAAAATGGCTTTATGTTAAAGTGTCACAAGAAAAAACAACAAAAGCACCATGGGGCTGGGGACATAACCTGCCAGTAGAGTGCTTGAGGACAAAAATGAAAAAGAACAGTCAAGATGGCTCAGTGGGCAGATGTGCCTGCTGCCAAATCCAATGACCTGAGTTCAGTCTCTGGTACCCATACGGTGAAAGGAGAGGACAGACTCCCACAAGTTATTTTTTGATTTCTTCATTGGTCTACAGCACATATGCATGCATACATGTGCTGTACACACACACACACACACACACACACACACACACACACACTAAAAAAATGCAATTAAAATTTTTTAAATCCCAGCTGGGCAGTGGTGGTTTACACCTTCAATCCTAGCACTCAGGAAGCACAGGCAGGCGGATCTCTGTGAATTTCAGGCTAGCCTGATCTACAGAGCGAATTCCAGGACAGACTCCAAAGTTACAAGAAACCCTGTCTTGGGGGGAATTAAATCCCAAAACAAAAATTTAAATTCATGGCTAGTATAATCATGATCAAATAGGATTTATCCCATAAGTAGAGGTTTGGTTCAACATAAGTATATCAAAGTGATAGACCATATTAATAGAATAAAGAATAAAAATCACACCATCTCAATGATGGTGAAAAATAAAGCACTTGACAAACGTCCACATGTGTTGATATAAAAACAAGAAAGAGAGCAGGCAGGATTAGAAGTTAGAAGGCGGCAACATCTTCAGCCTGTCAAAGATGTATAAACCCACAGGCTAATATCATACTTAATGGCAGAAAACTGGTTTCCCTTAGGAAAGGAGAAAATAATATTCTTTTCCATGACTTCCATTCAACACTGAGTGTTCTTAGCTACAGGAAGAAGCAATGTCTCTGCACTCTGAGGTGAGGTGCTCATCTCTACCTGCAGTAGCTCTGTAGCCGACCACTGGTGCCGATGCTCCAGATCTGAGATAAGTTCTTTTGCCAACTGGTTCTGTTGAGCCAGCTCAGCCTCCGCCTCTGCCAGGCTGTCCACTATGAGCTGCTCTTCCTCCCCCAATCTTTTTAGCTCTCTCTGTTCCTCCTCATTCAGGACTCTTCTAAGCTCATTAAACCCTGTTTGTATCCTTTGTCTCTCAGTCTGGATCTGGCACTGTAGTAACGGACAGGGAGAGAGAGATGTAATGAGTCTGTCAGGCTGAGGTAAGATGTCGCTCGCTATAAGATAGTAGAACTTTAAATCAGGGCAGACATTGGAATAGAACAGCAATCTGGGGATGCTATTTTATCTTCTATTTTCCCTTTGTTAAAAACAAATCATAACCAGGAAAAAACAAAAAACAAAAAACAAAACAAACAAACAAACAAAAAAACACACATAGTCAGGCGTTGGTGGCCCACGCCTTTAATCCCAGTACTTGGGAGGCAGAGGCAGGCAGATCTCTGTGAGTTTGAGGCCAGCCTAGTCTACAAAGCTAGTTCTAGGACAGGGCTCCTAAGCCACAGAGAAACCCTGTCCAAAACAAAACAAAACAAAACAGCAAAAAACAAACCAAACAACCCCCTTCTTGTCTTACCTAGGCTCTAAAAAAAAAAAAAAAAAAAAAAAAAAAGACTGGAATAAGGCTCATAAGGCTCAGATTGTAGACAAACGGCTTGGGCGCTCATGGCTCCCTGAATTAGCACTCCTGGTTTTGAAACCTAGAGAAAACTTTTTTTTGCCAGGTGTCTTGCAGCAGAAGTGTCAGAGTCTGAGGTGGGGGTGGGATTGGGGGTTGGGGGGGTGTGGACACAAAGACTCTTCCAGCCTTCAGATTATACAGTTTATCTTTGCCTTCATCCCCATCCCTCAACCCTAAAAAGGAATTTAGAGATAGCTTTGGACTTATTGAATGTCAAGGAACAAAGATGAGGGGCCTAATTGAACTAGAGCCAAAGGCTAGGGTTCCTCGCTCAGGAAGCATGTCCTGCCTTCCAGGAGATTCTGTCTTCTTTGATATCAGCTTCCAATTTCTCCGCCTTCTCCTGCTCCTCCCTCAGCCTCTTGAGAGCTTTCTGGAGAGTCTCCTGTGAGAAAGGAACCATATCTGTCATGCATTTCACCTGGACAGAGAGCTAACAAAGAAACCAGGTTGTTCCCGAAAAGACCAGTGTATAGATATTGTGAAGTTGATGCTTAGTGTTTATGACACAGAACATCTTCAGAGAATGCATTCTTCATCTCTAGAGGAGCAGAACCATCTCCTGTACACCAGCCGGAGCCTGCATCTTTTTCTTTAGATTAAGTACAGGCTATGTAGCAGGTGTAATTCTTTCCTCACAGTAATGCTCTTCCCACAACCAGTTCACAGTATTTCCTAGCAGTGGCCCTGTAGAGGGGAACGCTGGAACCTTTGGCTCTTGGTCAAGAGACTGCATGTACTGCAGACCAACCCATTATATAAACAGAAAGAAAAGACATTTTTAGGCGTTAGGAACTGAACATAAGGTAAAAGCTCAATACTATGGTGGTAATGAGAATCAAGGATAAAAGTGTATGATTTCTTATCAAGGACCATTTCCTACCCTATCTTGCTCCCTCATGGCCTCACCTGATATTCCCTGACTGCTTCCTCCCGGAGGAAGGTGATGTGATCACGATGCTCCCGAGAATGCATACAAAGCCGGCAAATAACCTTCCTGTCTTCCTTACAGAAGAGAAGGAGTTCCTCTCCATGATGTACACAAAGATCTCTTTTTGTCCCAGTATCAGGGTTCAGTTTGACTTCCTTAAGTCTCTCTACTACATCTACCAGGTGCCGATTAACCTGTAGAGTTTTAAATGAGAATCTAGTACCACACACAGGACAGCTGCTTTTCTCTCTGCGGTTGACCACTGCATTCTTCTTGTTCATGGTGATGCAGGCTTTGCATACATTGTGGCCACATCCTAGACTCAGGGGTTCTTTTAAAGGCTCTTGGCAGACAGGGCAGATGGCCTCCTCTACATTCATCGGGACCTCGGAAGCCATTATACTGCTGCCCTATTTTTTTCTTATCCTAACTTCTGGGGCTCTTCTTCCTTAAGGACTGCTGGCTGACTAGGAAGATTAGAAAACGATGGTATAGCAGTCTGAAGAGGCAACTTAAAACAGCACAGCCGCTTCGTATCCTTCAAGGTGGGTGATGTGATAGCAGAAAGCACTTACTCTTCAGCTGTGAGTAGACAGGATCTGAAACAAAGAACAAACTTTGGTGAATGGAACAGAAATAATCCAGATGAAGAATACAGTGGTGACACAAACAAGAGTACAGACTGGGGCTAAACGAAGGAAGAACGAGAAACTGTGAAAACAAAATAAACCAGGCCTTAGCACTGTGCAGAAGGACAGTAACTGCAGAAGACCTGGGAGCTGCGCAGCATATTGACAATAGGCAAGGTCTCTCCTTTCTTCCTAGAATTTGGCCATAAAGCAGTGTTGGTGTCACCCTGATTGGGACCTGGCATGTTTGAGAGTATGTTTCCCTGCTTCCATTATTAAAAAAAAAAAAAAACAGTGGTGGTGAATGCCTTTAATCCTAGCACCCAAGAGGCAAAGGCAGGCAGATCTCTGCTGAGTTCAGGCCAGCCTGGTCTACAAAACTAGCTCTAGGACAGCCAAGGCTACACAGAGAAACCCTGTCTTGAAAAAAGCAAAACAAACAAAATAAAAATTAAAAGAATATAATTAAAGGAAAAGGAGGATGGGAGGATTAGAGAGAGAAAGAATCCAAAGACACTAGGTAGAAGTCCCTTACAGGCTCACTCTACCTTTGAGACCGCCCCTTCCTCACCAAGCATGTTTTCATTGTAGCATCCCCCATGCCCACCTCCTACTCCTTGCTCTGCAATTCCCCTGGAAGGCAACATCCTCCTCTCAGTTCTAAGGAAAATCAACCTGTGTTAAAGCTTTCAAATTCAGCCTGGTGGTGGCCCCAGCAGAGGCAGAGGCAGAGGCAGGTGGATCCCTGTGATTTGGAAACCAGCTTGGTCTACAAGAGACAGTTCCAGGACAGCCTCCAAAGCCACAGAGAAACCAAAAAAAAAAAAAAAAAAAAAAAAAAAAAAAAGCCTTCAAATTCCTCACACTCTTAAGATTCTACTGAAGTTTCCTTGCTCTGAAAACTGAAGCTGAAAAGCTTTAATCTTCTAAAACTGTGATTCTGAGGCACAGGCAGGCAGATCTCTGTGAGTTTGTGGCCAGCCTGGTCTACAAAGTAGAGTTCCAGGACAGTCAGAGCTATTACACAGAGAAAACCTGTCTCTCAAAACCAAACAGAGAAAACAAAACAAAACAAACAAAAACCGCATCATAACATAACATTAGTATAGTTAATTTTTTTATTGTTATTCCTAGGTAGAGTGTAATATTTATTTCAGCTAACAAAAATTGAATGGATGCTTATTATACTTTTTAAATACCAGAAACATGCTTTATTTCCATTGATATTTTCATACAAGATAAATAAATATATAAATCTGGGTTATCTTCTGTTTGGCCATGACTAAACTCTGTCATGACAACAAGTATCTCCAGCAGTCAGGTGCAGACTCAGAAAAAGGCAGGTGAATCGAACTCTGAAAAGTAAGGATCTTAGAGAGTGGCAGGTGTTGAACCCATCCATCGAGGTACAAAATGTCCCTATGTTAGCCTAATACGGGGAATACTTGGAATACTCAGGGACAACACACAGAGAAAACATCTTAGCAAGAATGTCAACACCAAGGGCTCTCCTCAGCAATAGCTAACTCTGATTAACTAGCTCTGAGCAAGGAGACAAGGAATGGACAAAACCTTCAGTACAAAGACCCAAGCAGGAAGAATGAGTAACAAGCCCTAAGGCAGGTGAGGACTCCCCAGCAAGGAAGATGGGGGTTGGGGAGGCACAGGCATGCAGTACCAGCTACTTAAGAGGATCGTGCAGGATGATTATTTGAGCCCAGAAAGCTAAGGCCAGCCTCAGCAATGCAGTCAGACTAGTCTCAAAAATTAATAAACAAGCCAGGTGGTGGTGGCATATGTCTTTAATCCAGCACTTGAGAGGCAGAGGCAGATGGAGTTCGAGGCCAGTCTGGTCTCGAGTTCCAGGACAGGGGTCAAGGCTACACAAAGAAACCCTGTCTCGAAAAACAACAACAGAATAACTGACACAGGGTTATCCAACCTGCTCTGGATGTCAGGAAGGTTACTGACAGTCCCTCAGTGGGAGTAGAAGGGGAGTAGAGGCTTTTCTTAGTCAGAGTCTCTGAAATTGCAGTATCTATTGGGCAGAGGGGAGAGGGGGGAGGGGAGGGAAAAAGGGAGGAGGGGAAAGGGTGCAGAGCTCTTGAGATTCCAGACCTGTTTGCAAGGCAGAACACCACAGCTGCGGAGCAGGAAATGGGAAGGACTTTCTCTGAAGAAGGGTTCCTCCAGAAAACAAGGCCTTCCTGTCCATTTTCAAGTTGATTCCTCCCCAAACTCCCTTTCTCCCTTTATATCACAATGGTTTCTACACAGTAAATGATCTCCCCTAAACTTCACTGAGTTCTCTCCTCCCAGGGTCTCCCTCCCTCAGCCCTGCACAAACTTTCGCACACACCTCTGGACCCTCACCTCTGGCCCCGAAGGCGAAATCTTTCCTCCAGGCTGAAGCGGTGAGGAAAAGCCAAGGGCAATAAGCTTTGCTCAGCACCCGGGTTCAGCCTATCAGCAGCCCCTCCCTCTCCCGATACCGGAGAAAAGAAACTGAAACTCCAGGCCAGCTGGAGCAGGAAAGCGGAAGAAACTTCTGGGCCCAAGGGCTGGCAAAACTCTAGGCCGCCGATAGACGGCGATGCAGCAACCTTGGTGATCCAGTGGGGAGCAGAAGACCTGACCTAGAGTTGGAATTTCCAGTGGCCAAGAGCTTTTTGGTGATTGTAGTCAAGGGCTGTCGCTGACATCAGGTTGGCAGAGGCCATATTAAGGGAAGATTCCATTCAGTTAAGAAGGCAGTCACGGTCTCGGGAGAGGCAGAGACACCTTTATTGATGTGTGAGCCGAAAACCAAACAAATGGTCGAATGAGCTTTACAGTTTCTTACACTCTCAGCGGTGATCTTTGAGTTTCGTAGTCATTAAAGGAAGTTCAGTTAGGCAGGCTTACAGGAACAGAAATCATAGGAATACATAGTCTGTAGCCATAAAAATGCACAGGTGTTTTTGAATAATAGTAGCTCTTTGGTTGTGAAAATAGGGTCTACAGCATACCCTTTGTCCACTGAAACAATCTTGTGTCCCTGCCCCCACACCCCCAAGGCATAGTGTTCCCCCCCCCCCAGACAATTTCTCTGTGTAACAGCTCTAGCTGTTCTGCTATGGTTTTGCTCTGTAGACCAGGCTGTCCTTGAACTCACAGAGATCTACCCGCCTCTGCCTCCAGAGTGCTAGTTTTAAAGGTATGCACCAATAACACCTGGCTACATAGTGATTTTTAACAAACAGGCAGAACTCTTGGCTTACCTAGTAAAACCAGCTGACTTACTTCTAGGCTAGAGTTTCTCTTGCTATCATAGCATTACATGAATTCTCTTTCCCTCACCACTCCCTGCAAACCAAGCTGCAGAAGCTGCTAAATGCAGAGACACTTCTGCATGCAAGGAAACTTACCCAATTACAGTGCTAAGGAAGTCACAGATCATTGGTCTTTGGTGGTGCATGCCCTTAACCCATTACTCCAGACGCAGAGGCAGGAAGATCTCTGTGCGTTCAAGGCCAGCCTGGGCTACAAAGAGAATTCCAGGACAGTCTCCAAAGCTACAGAGAAACCCTGTCTTGAAAAAACAAAACAAAATCACAGATCTTGGAGGAGAACCTACAAACACTACTTTGCTTGGAGGAGAACCTACAAACACTACTTTGCTAAACCAGCACAATTCCTAACAACAATCTCAACATTTGTCCGTTTGCCCACAGATAAATGAAGTCCTCATATTTGAGGGGTGCAGTAAAGAAACCACAATAGTTGTTCCATGATTACAGGAAGGTTTTTATTATAGGTAAGAGATAACATTCAGAGGCAGTTGGGAAGCATCCAGAGCAGAAACAGACTGGACATGCCCTGGTCCATCTTGGAGAGAAGGGAAGTGAAGGAGAACAGTGGGAGAAAATAGTGGAGGTGACAAGATGATGGTAGTGGTGGGGAACTAGTTGACAGAGAGACATCTGGGTGGGGGTAAGCCTGGGGAAGCAAGAAAGGGTCAGAATGCTAACATGAGGGCTTTGGAATGTATAGAGTACTTGAGAGTAGGGATTGTAGGAGCATGGAGGCCAGCATGGGCTTTGATGTGCAGCCACTGGTATATGTCAGTGGAGACCCAAGGGAAATCAGACCTTTTCACAAGTTCTAGAGGAATGCTGGCTCTTACTTAATACCAGAAACCCTTCTGTAGTTCAGCTTCAATTGGGCTAGGACTGTCATTTCTGGATGTATATGAACTGAGACCTAACACCCCCTCAAGGAAACTTCATTTAACAGATGGAGATCATTACAGGAAACAACAGCTAATCAAAATGCAGAGTAGTGGCGTACAGTCCTAACTGATACATCTATAAAACACTCCTGTATCTAAGCTTCAGGGAACATAGATGAAAAGGGGAAGGAAAGGTTGTAGAAGAAGCCAGAGGATCAGGGAGTGGGGTGTGAGACTGTCTCCCAGTAATGTGAGCAGCTACACCCATTTACTCTCACCATCATGACTGCCTAAACATGAGCTGTACAAGGAAGATGTGAAAATCAAAAGGGCGGAAAGGTTCTGTGTCAGGAGGAGTTAGTGTAGGGCCCTGTATGAACCCCTGAGGCACCTTGAGCAAGCCTGAAGCTGTTGGCTGGAACCCCTTGCCCAGAGCAGTTATTGGTACTCTTGCTGCCCCCTGGAGTTGTCATCAGTACTCTTCCTGTACACCTGGTGCAGAGAAGCTAAGCCTAAAAATCCTGTTATTTTCCACTGTGGTATAAGTCAGTATTTAAGCCCCCTCAATAAACAGCATTGGGCATTCCAACATTGCCATTGAACGAGTGACCCGCTGTCTTGTCTCCTATTTCAATCTCTAGGCCTTCACCCGATTCATGGAACAGATCATAGCTGGGGGGCTACAAGTTAGTTCACAGGAGACTGGAACAGCAAGTGGCTTCATCAGGCCCAGCTCTGGGGAGCTTTGGGGATCAGACAGAGGGTTTAAAGCAGTCCTGATGTGAATACAAAGGGACGGAAAGTCTACTCAGGGGGCAATGATGAATGACTTTGGCCCAGGAACACCAGTTCTGGTTGCCTCAAATTCCATATTTCAATGTGCAAGCAGTTTTGGTAAAGTTTTTATAGTAGCAGAACAAAGGGATAATAAACCAATACATTTTCAAGTACATTGATGCAAACATGGGCAGATTAATGAAAGAGGAAGAATCTCTGCTACAGGTGCTGATGACCCTCTTAAACCCTTTGCTTGGTTAGCAAACTAGTGCTTCTGTTTGCATTTTTCAAATTATTTATGTAATGAGCACAAGGACTCATGCAGAGGAGGGCAGTACATGGCTACGAACAGGGCTAAAGACATCCATCCCCAAATAACTTGACTGTGAACTCTGTAGCACTCCAGTGTTGCTGGACTTGCGACACACAAGTTTTTTCTTCTAGGAAACAGTTCATTAACCCTGCAGGCAGGCTCAGCACATTAGTATCCAAAGGTCAAGCTCTGAATACAATGGGGCTACCTTTTTGACTTCTATGTCTCTACCTATGGTAAAGTACAATCTGATTGGGTATCCCAAATCATCAGGTTATGGTACTAAAGCTGTGAAGGGGGGGGGGGGAGACACTGGGGAGCATGGCAAATCTCCAGGCAAGCATATTGGCTAGAGCACACACAGTTTTTCAGTTCTCTTTTTCTTTGGCTTCTGGAAAACCCCACTGCCTCACCAAACTTGCAGCACTCATCGACATGCTAACAATCAGCCTTGCACATGTGCAATGGGACATACAGCTTTTTCACTTTGGTTGGCAAGGACTAAGATATCAAAAGACTAGATTGTAAAAAGTGTGGAAAACAGTTGTGGAATGTAAGCAGGGAGATTGGGGGGGGGGGCATTTGTAAGAAAGAAAAGGGAAAGACATCAAGCCTGAGTAACAGGAATGAAAACCACCTCGAATGTGCTTAGCAGCAGTATAACTGACAAGCAGAAACTACCTGTCAGTATTGTGACCCAAACCCTAACAACAGACTCCTCCTAAAGAAGAGTCTGAAATTGAAGAGACAACAACTAAAATTCCCCATAGAAACATGCAAAGGGGGAGAAAGGAGTGCATCTGTGAAGCAGACAACCCCAGAGGCAAATGCATCACTGGAATGACAGAAAAAGGATAAAGGTGGTGAGGATGGGAGCAGAAATATTTTAAATTAATGTCAGACACCAACTCAGAAGTTCACAAAGCATAACATCCAGCTGAATAAATTTTTTTTTAAAAAAGCAAACAATAGTATTGTCAGGGAAGAGAATATCCAATTAGCTGTTGCAAGGAATTGAATATAGGACTTTTCTTTCGTATGCTGTCTCTCCTTTGAGTTCCACCTGAAACTAAATTCAATTATGTAGTATGTCAGTAAACTAAAAAGAGAAGCTATTAATAGGATAACATTTTTGCTATAAAATTAAGACTTCTTTACACTGAATTATTTTATAACTTAGGTAAAATTTAAGTTACCCTGTAATAAAGCAATTCTCTTCTAAATAATGCACATGTAATAACTTATTTTAAAATACTTATTATTGAGAAAGGGTCTTAGTGTGTAGCCCCTGGCTTGTAACTCCATATACAGATCATGCTGGTGTTAAGTCCAGAGATCTCTGTGTATGCCTCCCAAGTACTGGAATTAAAGTCATGAGCCAACCCACTTGGCTCTTATTTTTAGTTACAAATAAATGTGTGTTTGTGTGTGTGATAGTACACCTGAATGCAATGTTCAGGAAGGCCAGTAGAAAGTTTCAAGTCTGGAACAAGCTACAGGGGACTGTGGGCCTTTGGATACATGAGTGCTGGGAACAGCCGGCTGGCTGGTCCTCTGTAAGAGCAGCAGGCACTCTTCATTGCTGAGCCATCATCTCTTCAGGCCCTGCCCTAATTTTGTTTTGCCACTGATTTTGGATGGTGCTCAGGATGAAAGCCAGTTTCTTTCTTACACATGTTAACCTGTTGGTTTTGGAGGCTGTCCTGGAACTAGCTCTTACAGACTATGCTAGTGTAGAACTCACAAAGATCCATCTGCCTCTGCCTCCCAAGTGCTGGGATTAAAGGCATGTGCCACCGCCACCTGGCTTACCTGTAAACCACAATTAGAGAAAACTAATTTGTATTCTAAAAACAACTATGTTAAACTGCAGAGAAAAGCCATAATAAAATAACTGCCAATACTTTGGACCACTAGGTATGAGCTAGAACTAAAAATTCTATTACTTATCTCTGCAATGCCCCAGAAGAATATTATTGCAGGACACAGGGGAGAGGCAGATAGAACCTACTTGAGGCTTGATAGATGAGTAGATGAATGGAGCAGTCTTGAGCCTGAAACAGACCCTCCCATGCATGACCAACTTGGTGGACAAAGTAGGCTTTCAACAAGTAGTTTTGGAAAGACTGCAATCTACATAGATAAAGAGATGGATTTAAATCCATACTTTGCACAATTTATGAAAAACTATCTCAATGAGGAACATGGGGTTAATATAAAATCTACAATTATAAAGCATATAGAGAACTAAGAGCTACACTTTGATCTTGGATTAAAAAGACTTTTCTTTCATTCTTTTCTCCTTGTCTTATTTCCTGTATACTTTTATTTTTGGTTTTTTGAGACAGGGTCTGTGTAAATCTGGCTATCCTGGAACTCCCTACATAAACCAGGCTGGTCTTGAATGAAGAGTGTGTGCCACCACTTGTGACTATACTTATTTTTAGAGATAGTCCTGCTCTATTGCTTGGGCTGATCTTAACACTCATATTAGATTCTTTATATGAGAAATAACATCCCAGCCTGGCAGTGGTGGCACATGCCTTTAATCCCAGCACTTGGGAGGCAGAGGCAGGAGAATCTCAATGAATTTGGGGCCAGCCTGTTCTATAAAGTGAGTTCCAAGACAGACAGAACTATTACACAGAGAAACCCAGTCTTGGTAAAGGGAAAAATATCCATTACCATTTGATACATTTCATTTTCACAGTAGTTTAACTTAATCCATAAAGATAAAGTGAGAAGACTTCTGTCTCAAGATCCCCCTGGAAAAGGTTAGGGCTAAAAGCTTGCTCTGATCTGTTTGAGCAAACCTTCCTTGAGGCCTACAGAATTACTTTGGTATCTAGGGTCACTTTCTGGATACCTCTTTGAAGCCTTCAAATCAATTTAAGGTTTACGGGTTTGGACTAACTCCTTTGGCCTGGAACTTACTGCATGAGAAAAATAAACGAGAGGGGAGCAACTAGTTGGGCAGATCTTTCTTCTTTCTGAACTCCTGCCATCCTCCTGGCCCACCTGGCCACTCTCTCTTTAGCAGTGCCTTCAGCATGAGAACCCTGTGCCTATCTCTGTACACATGATTAAAAATAGGAAAACAAAATAAAACCTCAGAGTTCAGGGGTGGGTATGTAGATAGGTCCTTTTTGAGCAGGTATACATTCAAGTAGTTTCTCTTGATACTCTTGTCCAAGACTTTTTTCTGGGTTCCCTCAAGGATAGAAAGTTGTCTAGTAAAAGTATAATCAGAGCCAATGTAACCGAAAGTTTCCTAGCACCTGCATTTAAACATTACAATGAGCCTGGCAGGGCAGTGGTGGTGCATTTCAGAGGCGGAGATAGATGGATCTCTGAGTTTGATGGATCTCAGTCTACAGAGTGAGTTCCAGGACAGCCAGGGCTACAGAGAAACCTGTCTCAAAACACAAAGCAAAACAAAACAAACAAACAAAAAACAAACCCACACAAACAAGCAAACAAAAGTACAATGAAAGCTTTGTGTAGTGGTTTGCCTGTAATACCAGCAGCTGGAAGGCTAAGGCAGGAGGCCTACACCACCACCATGGGTTTGAAGCTAGTCTGGGATACATGGTTAATTTTGAGCTAACCTGGGTGGCAGAGTGAGACTATATCTTGAAATAAAACAAGCATTTGAAGTAAGTTTTATTTAAAACAATATATCCAAAATACACTGTTACACAGTTGTTAGTGATATTATTTTACATTGCATTTATGGAAATCCAGGGTGTAGTTTACACTTACAGTATATCTGAGAGTGCTCAAAAGCCACTAGAGGCTCTTGGCTGCAGCGTAAGTTGTCCAGCTGTCTCCTGACATCATTTTTTACCCTCACTTCTACAATTTTTTTTCACAGTTGAATATGAAAGCTTGTAGCACCTCTCCACAAAAGTCAGCAGCTTACATCCATCTGGAACTTGAATCTGAGCATAAATAGATGTTCTGGGGTGAGATGAAGAGGCAGTATAAGCCTATAAACCTAGCTACTTGGGATGTCAAGGCAAGCTTAAAGTCAGCCTGGACTTGATTGCAAATTCAAGGCCAGCCTGGGCAACTTGGTAAGAACCTGTGTCAAAAGAACAATAATAATAACAAAAAAAAAAAAACTAACTAAAGAAAAGTTGTCAAGCCTGGTGCTAGAATGCCAGCCTGACATAGAATGCCCTGAGTTCAATCCTGAGCTTTGCAACAGAAAGGTGTTGCAGAATATTCCTTTATAGTATGTGAAAATGTGTCACTGTGGTTGATTTAATAAAGAATAAAGAGCTGAATGGCAAATAGCTAGGTAGGAAGAGGTTAGGCGGGGCTTCTGCAGACAGAGAGCAAGAAAGGAAGGATGGAGAGGGTGGGCAGTACAGAGTAAACGTAACCCAGCCACATAAAAGAGTGTATTGCATTATAAGAGCTAGCTAGGAATGAGCCTAAGCTAAGGCTGAGCTTTCATAATTAATAAGAAGTCTCTGTGTCATTTCCGCCTCCCCCCCAACTGGTAGCCCAAAGAGAAACCTGTTTATTGACAGGAGCTAAAGGAGGGTCAGAATACATCAGAAGGTCAGAAGGGGCTAACTACATTTTTTTCTCTTCTGAGATAATTGGTATTGGTTGGTCATTGTCTTCACCCTTATTTACTTTTCTCCCTTCTAAGCACATTTTCTGATTATGATTACTACTCTTAAAATCTTAAGATGGGCTGGGTGGTGGTGGTATACACCTTTAGTCCCAGCACTCCGGAGGCAGATGGATCTCTGTGAATCTGAGTCCAGCCTGGTTTACAGAGTTCCAGGACAGACTCCAAAGCTACACAGAAAAATCCTGTCTCAAAAAAACAAAACACAATAACAACAAAATAAATCTTAAGATGAAGGCTGAAGCTTGTGGTAGCATTTATTTATCATGAAAACCAAAGCTACAATCTCTTCTTAAAGTCATCAAAACTAAAGTGGTGAGTGAATTTTTATTATTTTCTTTTAGTCAATGGTCAGTTTGATTTTCTTGTTGTTATCTATCAAAGGATAGTTTGGATTAAGCACTCAAATCCTATATATACTTATATAACTGCCTTGCCCATTATTACATTTTGTATAACTTGACAGATACTCTAAGAATGGAAAATTAGAGGCAATTTTGTTTATAAAGGTAGGCAAAAACCAAACCTAAGCAATAAGTCAACAAAAATAAAGTATTAAATGTTTCACATAAGAACAGTTCACTTAGGAATCAGTGGTTGACTCAACTGAGACAACTCAATGCAGCTGGGTTAGGAGCAGAATGAAAAGGGGAATTATCTCAATGATTATAGAAAGAAAATATCCTGAACTCAATTGGTGGTATAAAAATTCCTATCTAATATATAGAGAAATTTTACATTCGACCACAGACAATAGTTAAAAAAAAAAAAAAATTCCAGGACAGCCTGGGCTACAGCCCATTTCAAAACAGCCCATTCCCAACAAATCAAGAGACAACATTTGCTGGGCCTTGGTGGCACACACCTTTAATCCCAGCACTCAGGAGGCAGAGGCAGGCGAATCTCTGTGAGTTCCAGGCCAGCCTGCTTTACAGAGTGAGTTCCAGGACAGTTAGGGCTATACAGAGAAACCCTGTCTCAAAAAACCAAACCAAACCAAAAGACAACGTTAACAACTTTCCTATAAGATCTGTCAATAACAGTCCTCACTAGCAGCAGTGGGAGGTTATACTACAAGAACACAGAAAATGGAGTCTCAGAGAGGAAACTCATATCTGAAGGAATCTACTCATTTGTTGTAGACAGGGGTGGTAGACCTCTCAAGGGCTTGGTCGACGCAGAGTCATTGGGACTACACAGCTACAGGGATTGAAATATGGGCAAAGGGCAGTGGGGAAGTAATACTTAGAGAAGGTGTAGATGGGCAAGCCATGGTTTGTGACATTATAAAAGGAGACAGTGCCGGCCTCATAGTCTAAGAAAACCCCTATGCGGCGAGGTGGCACTGTCATGGAGAGGAGCAGGGAGGTGGAGGAGTCCTCATAGGCTCTGTATTCGTGCTTATGCTGCAACCCAATTACCCAGTATCCGCTCTGGGGCTGATACCTGGAGAAGGCACTCTGCTTGCAGGGATACTGACTGAAAGAGAACATGGGTTCTACAGGGTTACTGCATACACCCAAGATCCACGACGTCTTCTTGGTCACGTCCACCTCCCAGTAGTATTTTCCTGAGGAGAAGTGCTGAGAGCCTAGGACACTACAGTCATAATGTTCTTCCAGGCAGGAAGGCTCGGACAGCTTGGCACCCACAAACCTCACCTGTCTTCGGTTTTTAGACAGGACAAGATTTAAATTAGCTGTCTGTGGATTCAGAGTCACGTCCACTGTAGAAAAAGGTACAAGAGCAGCAGATGAGAATGGGCATGAGATCCCATGGCTCTTGAGAGGACAAAGGAAATGGGTGTGTGTGTGTATTGCGACTTAGAATTAGGTGGTAGCGAGAGATATGGAACTTAAGACCCCAAAGAATATGCATGTCTGTTGGAGAGAAGCAGTGAAAGAGGTTCACAAGTATCAGTTCAGAGAGGTCATGGAGTCTACTCACCCCAGTAGCTTTGGACGTCTGTCAACTCTGAAATGAGACAGTAATACATGTTAAAGAGAAGGGTTGTCTCAGGTCTGACATCTGAGGAGTTCTGGGGAACTCAGAAGGCATGAACTGGTCACTCATTTCCCCTTAAACAGGCACTGCATTATCTTCAGCATACCTGTCCTCTAACTTCTCTCATCACTGCTATTTTCCAACATCCACCACACCTCTGCCCTGTTTCTTCCCGCTATAGTAACCCCACATCCAAACTCTCTCCAACTCACCTCGAAAGACTCGCAGCATCTTTTTCAGATCCGGCGCTCGAAACAAACTTTTCAGCTTGGTAGGGAGAGCTTGAGGCTTCCTCAGGGTCCAGAACTCACTCCTAGTGAGGGAACACCTTATAAGAGCTTCTGGGTACTAAGTGTCTCCCCATCTCTTAGATCCACTAATGAACTTCAACTTTCTTTCCTGAGCAAAGTCAGCTTTCTACAAAGGGCCTGGCACTGGACCAGAAGACTGGGACTAGAAGCCAGCTGCTCATTAACTGTATGGGCTTCAGTGTAAATGTTAACTTTTATTAAAGCCTCATTTTGTTTCTTTTCTCTTGTAAGTTCTATAAGATACAATGATTTTCCTCTTTCTCCCTCTGTCCTAAGGACAGTAGCCAACTGCAGTGGCTGTGGAGTCCTTTGTTACATCTAAAAAGGAAATAAAATGTTTAAAAATGTCAGTGCCTAAAAGGACTTTGTGAACACATCCCCCATGGAGGGATAACTGCCTTCATCTAGAGACAGGAGAGAAGCCCTAGTCCCTACTTCACATGACCTGTCAGACTACATGACCCCAACTGGATGGCATTCCCCTACATATGGAATTGGGGTGGGGGTATGGGAGGGGAGGCTGGTTAGAGTGCATGTGAGAGGGCAGAGAGGATAAAAGGGAGGGAAGGAGGGGGAACTGGGATCGACATGTAAAATAATAAATTAAATAAAAAAAAAATGCTTTGACTCCAACATTCAAAACAGCTGGACAAAGCAGCCTTACAGACTACAGCCAGGATTTCTGGATCTTCTTCCAATCCCCCATGACAGCACCCTTTAGGAAGTAGTTTGGAAAGAACAATGCCCAAATTCCCAAATATTGTCTATAAATGTTTGTTTTCATTTAAATGGACTTGGTTATATAAAATAAATAAATAAATAAAATGTCAGTGCCTTATCAGGATGTCCACTAAGAGGCGCTGGAGACGCCTACACTAATCAGAAACCCTGCTGCAGAGGCTAAAGAACACCTGAGGAAGTGTGTGTGTGGGTTTAGAATTCACAGGCACACTGTCTAAGAGGCCTGAAAGTACTGGGTCTGCTGTCAACTTTAGATGCCACCTTGGTGGATGACTTTGTAGATTTAATGCTATGAACAAAGAGACGTGTTCTGTCCCAGAGCCAAAGCCATTCCCCTCATATCTCAGGTCTGTGCTTTTACACAGACACAAAACAAAATTTAAGCACTATGTAGCAAGACCTGGGCTGGAAAGCCAATTTTCAAGCCTGGGCAATACATGGATGGTGATTTTCCTCAAAGATGCACAGCCAAAAACAATGTTTATTGGGGCAGCTGTGGCTAAGAAAACCAGCATCAAAGGGAGGAAAGGTTGGTGAAAAAGGAACCTACTGATAATTCTGTCTCCAGTTAGCATCCCCTTACTATACCAATTCTATGACCATGGATGCCAGCCTGCTCCCTTGTCTTTGAGATCTCTAAAGTCACATGCAATTCAACCCACCAGTTACAAAACTACCCTGCCTGTGATTTCCTCCTTCCCCGCAGGTTAATTATTTTTCTTTTAAAGATTTAATTATTTATTATGTATAGTGTTCTGTCTGCATGTATACCTGTAGGCCAGAAGAAGGCACCATATCTCATCTCATTACAGATGGCTGTGAGCCCCATGTGGTTGCTGAGAACTAAGAAGCTTTGGTAGAGTAGCCAGTGCTCTTAACCTCTGAGCCATCTCTTGTACCCCTCCCACAGGTAATTCTATAGGGATAAGCCCAAGGGAATGAACTTTTATTCTCACATACCTTTTTGTGACATCGCCCACATCCTAGGGTGGAAAAAGACACATTAAGTGAAGGATTATGTGTTCTTCCTACTTTACCACCTGGTATAATGGTGAGGGACACCCCCTAACTCCTGGCCACACACACTCACAAAGTCCAGTTGCTACAAAGTATAGATGAAAACTTAGAGGAAACCAGATATAGCAGGTACAGCACATGCCTAGCACTTAGGAAGCTGGGGCATAAGTTCTGTGTTTGAGGCCAACCTGGGTTACATGGTAAAAGTCCATCTCAAAACAACTAAATATTCACAGAAAAATTAAAACTCCATCTCTGAGCAGAGTTCCTGAGGACCCACGTACAAATTTCAATAAGTTCCTTTGTTTGTTTTCTGACAATGCTCAGGATAGAAACCAGGGTTTCATTCATGGATGGTAGACAAATGTCCCATCACTGAGCTTTGTCACTGAGCTACGTCTTCATTCCTGTGGTTGAAATGTTATGCATGTGTATTATCTGTTATTTTCCATGCACCTTTTGGCCCTTGGGACAGTGACAGGTTTCTGACAGCCACAGGTTTTATTATTATTTTTTTTTTGTTTGTTTTTTGAGACAGGGTTTCTCTGTGTAGCCCTGGCCTTGAATTTAGAGATCAGCCTACCTTGCCTCCCTACTGCTGAGACTAAAGGGGTGTGCCATTGCCACCTGCCTGAGACAGCCATAGGCTTTAAACATGTTTGGTTCTCTCTCCTTAGATGATATGCACACTCTTACACACACAGGCTCAGCCCCAAATACCTGGTAAGTATCTGTTACTATAGAGGAAATTCTACTCCAGAGAGTAAAAGCAGAGAAAGGCTGGTGGCATAGCCTTAGCTGATGGGAACAGCAAAAGTCATGAGGCCAGCACAACTGTTTGATAAGGATCCAGCAAAGCTAAACCGAATGATGGCCGTTGTGTCATCTCTGGTTTTCATCTAGACTTGTTCCATACTTGGGAGACTTTTAATATTTGTACAATTTGGGGATATTAGAATGGTGGAAAACTTTTTATGAATCATTTATGCCTTCTCCCAGTAGTATTGCTTCTAGGCTTCCCCAGGAAGGTCCTGAATATACTACCCTTCCTGCTTTGAGGGAGATATCCTGTTCTACTTGAAGGTTGCGATACACATAAAGAAGCCTGAGGTCTCTTTATGAGGCTCTTAGACATTTTTGAAACTACTGTCCCTGTTTTTACTGAGGAGCAAAATAGTCAAAACAAAGTAAACTTAAGAAGGTCAATAAGGGGGGCTGGAGAGATGGCTCTGAGGTTAAGAGCACTGGTTGCTCTTCCAGAGGTTCTGAGATCAATTCCCAGCAACCACATGGTGGTTCACAACCATCCCTAATGATATCTGGTGCCCTCTTCTGGCATGTAGATATATATACAGGCAGAAAACTATGCATAATAAACAATCTTAAAAAAAAAAAAAAAGGTCAATAAGGTCTTGGTGGTACACGCCTTTAATCCCAGCACTCAGGAGGCAGAGGCAGGTGGAACTCTGTGAATTGAGGCCAGCCTGGTCTATAGAACTAGTTCCAGGACAGCCTCCAAAGCAATACAGAGAACCCTGTCTCGAAAAAGAAACAAACAAACAAACAAACAAACAAAAACAAAAAACGTTAACAAGATTTGGTAGGCTAGGAGTTGGTCACAGTTCAGACTGCAAGTCTCTTTCCCCTATACACTCAGGCAATTACGTGACATAATACAGCAATAAAGTTAGATTAGCTGAAGTTACCATGCCAGAACCTAAGGATATTTGGCCTGAGGATATTTCTTGGGCACTCTGACCATTAAGACTTAATAGTACACTGCTTGGGACATGGCAATATTTCTGGGCTGGCTTAAAGATTTTGTTTTGCTCTAACATCCTTGAAGGAACCAAAGCTATCAGCCTGAGAACAGGCAGTCATATGCCTCTAGTCTTAAAAATTGGGTTATGGGTTAATGAATTAAAACAATAACACTGTTCATGAATGATGTCAACATTTGAGGGAAAATGATTGGAAATAACTCTGTTCTGTCATAGTTTATTAATGATGACTAAAATATGAGCAAGAAAAAATAAAACTCAAGTCCAAAAACAAAAATGATATGATCTAAGTTTTGGAACAACACAAATCGATCCCTGCTTACTAAATTTTGTATAAATAAAAAAAGCACCCTGCCTGCTAGTCAGTCAGGGCTATAAGATTCTCCTGACTACCTTGCCTGGCTCATCCACCCACCCCCCTCCCCCCTCCAACTCCCACAGGCAGGGGATGGCTCCCCAGCAGGCTTGTAGGTGCCAATGCTCTAACTTGATTTTGGTATGTGTTTTCCCATGAGGAGGCTAAACAAAAGCATCTTACCAACTCCCATTACAGCAACACAGACATGAGCTGCCTGGTGAACAGAGGTTTTTAGCTGGGGTTGGACATATCCTCCTTTGGGATTTAGTGCAATGTTAAAGGGCTTTGGAAAGGCCTTATCTGATGGAAAGGGGCCAGGAGTGCTGGGAAATTCCCTACAATGCACAGAAGAATACTTCACAGCTCAGGTTTATCTGTCTTAGAATGCCAGTTGTCCAGAGATTGGTAAAGCCTCCTGGAGAGCATTGTTGGATACAGCAGGTCTTCACAATTCCAGATAAACTCCTGAGCTACTCTTGACTAGTAATAAATAACAATGGGGGCTTCCCTTAGCATTTGCATCTGAACTGTTTTGGACTTTAGCCCATGATCTCCTCAGGGCTCAATAAAAAAAGAAGGTAACAGAAAGACAAAGAAATACCTTTTTCCTCTCATTTCCATGATAATCCTAGCACCACACAAGACAGAAAATAGTTTCTCTTCTAAAGCTGGGGGTCCTGGCCGAGTCTCACCTGCAGCAGTTCCACTGTGGACCCCTGGCACCGGTGCTCCAGGTCTGAGATGAGATCTTTCAGTGACTGGCTCTGGTGGATAAGGTCCCCCTCTGCCTTCTCGATGATGCTCAGCCCCTTCTTCTCTTCTGCCTCCAGTTTCTTCAGTTCCCTCTGTTCCTCCCGATCCAGGATGCTCCGCAGCTGCTTAAATTCAGTCTGGATCCGGTGTCTCTCAGGCTCCACCTGATTCTTCAGCACCAGAGAAGAAAAACAGGCTGCTGACCAAAGGGTTCTCCCTGGGGGGGGGGGGGGGGGGGGGAGGGGCAGGAAACAGGCTGCAAACTGCTGTTCTGGGCCTGCCCCTCTAAGAGTGGAGGTACACACAGGCCTGTAGGGCCTGTTCTCAGGACCTCAGCCTCAGGCTACCTTATCTAGGGTCTGGAGATATGCCCTGTGATTCTTGGGTGAGTTTAGACTCCAGTAAGCTTGTGTAGCTTCTTAGGCTTCTAAGTCAGCCTCTGCTTCCAATTTCAAGCCCTAGGAGTAATTACTGGTTCACAAAAATCTACCATTTCAGGGCAGTGGAAATAAGACTCAAATTTTTTTTCTTTTCTTTTTTGAGACAGGGCCTCACTATTGCAGCTCTGGATGGCCTGGTACTTGCTCTGTAGATTAGGCTGGCCTTTAACTCATAGCCATAAGCCTGTCCCTGCCTTCCAAGCACTAGAATTAAGGGACAGTACCGCCATGCCTGGGAAGCCATTCTTTCTCATATAGTTGCCTTAAAAAACCTGGGAGATAGCTTATATGTTGAGAGCACTTTCTGCTCTTCCAGAGGACCTGGGTTGTATTCCCAGTCCCTAATGTGGTTTACAAGCATCTTTGAATCCAGTTCCCCTCTTCTGGCCTCCTCAGGCATCAGACATACATGTGGTATACAGTAATATATGCAGGCTAAACACCCATACACATAAAACAAAATAATACAATAAAGTTCAAATTAAAAAAACAAAACAAAACCCCAAAGGAAACTGGGTTGCATTTTGATTTGTTTGTTACCTAACTTCCATCCCAATTTCCCTGCGCAAGGAAAAAGGCCAGACCAGAGGAAGTTCTATGCAGAATAGGAGACACTGGGGCAGGCAGCCCGGGTCCTTGGCTACCATGGTCATCTTAGTTGCTATCCAAGATCACTTTCAGGAGAATCCCACTTGCCTTCCAGGATTCCCTCTTCTCTTGGATAAGAGCTTTTAGCCTCTCAGCTTCCTGCTGCTCCTTCCTCAGCTTCTTCAGAGACTCCTGGAACATCTCCTGGAAAGAATACACCAGGTTAAAGAGGATCCAGCCTCTTTAACACATGGAACAAACTAGGACGAGATTACACAGACCTCAGTCTCCAAAGTGCCTTCTCTACATAGGGAATGAAAACATCGGCCTAGACGAGCAGGCAATCAAGAGTACAAAAAAAAAAAAAAAAAAAAAATCTCTGCTGCTGAGCAGGGAGCCACCTTCTAGTTCAACTTCTAAGTAAAAGAGTTCTACAAGGACATTTGGGCTTCAGGTATAGTTCAGTTGGTAGCCTAGCGTACAAAAAGCACTGGACACGGGTAATCATAGAACTCTGGAAATGACGGCAGTAGGACTAGAAGCTCAAGGTCATTTTTAGCTAGCTACACAGTCAGTTTGAGGCTGTACTTGACTACTTGGGACCTTGTCTCAAAACATAACAAAGCAAACCAAACTACAAAACAATTAGGAGAACATGAAGTAAGGCCAGGCCCTGGACCTGCTCCCACCTGGTAGTCCTTGGCCACCTCCTCCATGAGGAATGTGTGATGACCATGGTGTTCCTGAGATCTCTCACAAAGCCAGCAAATTAACTTCCCATCCTCCTTGCAGAAAAGCTGGAGTTTTTCTCCATGAAGTGCACAAAGAATGACCTCTAGCTGCTTTCCTGGGCCCAGCACGACCTCTCTGAGCCTCTTCACAATGATGGCCAGGTGTCGATTAGGCCGGAGGTTTCCAGGCTGGTAGGCCGTCCGGCACACAGGACAGCTGCTCTTCCCTTCTTGGTTGGGCACTGACTTGTTGCTGCTTCCTGTAATGCAGTCCTGGCAGAAGCTGTGACCACAATCTATGCTCAGGGGTTCTGTCAGGAGCTCCAAGCAGATAGGGCAGGTGACTTCATCTCGGATGTCCACCAGAACTGCTGAAGTCATTGTAGCCACTCTCTTGGCTCGTACCTGCCCAGCTCTGACAGGTAGACCGTTCTTGCTTGTAGAATCCTAGGTAGAGAGCAAATAAAAAAGCACAGGCTAAGGAAGGAGAGAGAAAAAATGGTATGGTGCTATGCACGCTGAGGAGATACACGGGGTAACAAAGGCCTCTCCCTCCAATTCCAACATTTTACCTGAGTTTACATCCAACACAAACTTCCCCTCTTATTATAATGCTTACTGTTTGCTTTACCTCCTACTGGATAGAAAGACAAACTGGGACACAGGAGAGGCATTACAGAGTTGCCCACCCAAGCATGTTTTCTTTCTTTCTTTCTGCCTCCTGAGTGCTGGAATTAAAGGTGTGTGCCACCAACGACCGGCTCCAAGCATATTTTCAGTGTCAAAAATAATAAACACACGACTGTGCAGGGGCTAGGTAGGATCAATTCTATGTCTTGGTGCCTGATCATCTAAGAGTAACTTACCACTGTGCTGTTAAAAACAACACCTGCTTATTGCTACTAAGAACTGACATGTGTTTTCCAAAAGTAGTCAACAAATACACAGACTTTCAAAGTTTTGTGGAGAAAGTTAAGTATCTTGTAATTTTAATTGATTGTATGTCTTAATATTTTTCATGTATCGGGTTCAATAAAGTCAATTAAAACTAAATCTACTCACTTCATCTTTTTGTTTGGTTGGTTTTTCTAAGACAAAGACCCACTAAGGAGTTCTGGCTACCTTAGAATTTATCTCAATACTCCTGCTTTTGCTGGATTACAGATGTAGGTGAACATGTCCCAAACTTTTACTATGTAATGGGGCTAATAGAATACTCAAATGACACAGTAGCCCTATTTTCTATCTCATTAGAAATTGCTGTCATTTCCCATTATAATGAACACATTAAATAACCAAGGTAAGATTCTTGAATGGAAGTGATGGTACTGGAATTGATGTTTCTTGGTTCTATGAAGACTAGACTGGGAGAGTCTGACTCTCTGGAGCAAGAAGACCAAATCAGTAGCACATGGAAGAGAGAAGAATAATCCAGGGTAAGGGATGCAGTTAAACAGAAAACCAGGGGCTGGAGAGATTGCTCAGTGGTAAGAGCACTTGCTGTTCTCTCATAGGAACCGGGTTTGGTTCTCAGTATCCACATAGCAGATCACAAGTGCTTGTAACACCAGTTCTAGTGACTTGGATGCCTTCTTCTGGCCTCCATGGACTCCTGCAGGCATGTGGTACATGTACACTCAATTATGATAAAACATATACACATACTTTTTTTTTTTTTTTTTTTTTTTTTTTTTTTTTTAAGTCAGAGGACCACACTAGAGGCTGGAGAAAGAGCACTGGCCTCCACTGGAACTCTGTTCAGGACATCAGCAATGAAAAAGATTTGCAGGGTAGTTAGGATGCTTTAGAAGCTGACCTTTGCCAAGCAGATACAAGTTAGGGCACAAAGCTGCTAGAAAGGGGAAAGGAGTGCCAAAATACAGACGGATACTGTATTAGAAGCTCACGAGGGTACCAAAATAGTCTTCACAATATAATCACTGGCAACCAGGGAACGCTGAGATCAAAGCTGGGAACTCAAAAAAGACCAGAGGAAAAATTTGTCCACCAGACTGGCTTGAACTCATGGAGATCCATCTGCCTCTGCTTCCAGAGTGCTAGGATTGAGGGCCTGTGCCATGATGGCTGGCTAATTTTATTTTCTATCTTTATGTAGGCCTACATTCCAACTTAACCTATTATCAGGAATTGATCTCACAGCACTCAGTGGACATAAAACTGGAAAGCAGTTAGTTTTAAGCATTTCTGAATTTAGCGCTAAATAATTTGTTGCATTTTTAAAGAGTAGAATATTATTTCTGCATATTTATTAAATTTGTAGTATTTAGCCTGTAATTCCTATTGTTAAAAGTGTTCTATTTTACCGTATTTGGACATAGAGGTAATATCCTTTTTTTAAAAAAATACACTATAAAGCATATTTAACACTTTTTATTACCCCTTTTCTTATGTTTTTGGTTGTGAGCCTAGCCTTTAATGGCTGAGCCATCTCTCCAGCCCATATTACCCCTTTTCTTATTTTCTTCTTGAGACTTGGTCTTATGTATCCCGTCAGGAACTAAATATCTAAGGATGACCTTGACCTTTGGATTCCCCTGCCTCCACATGCCAAGTGTTGGTATTATAGGTGTACACCTTGTTCCCCTAAGCCCCATATATGGCATGGCACCACCGCTGGTCTACTACTTTTCTTTGGTGCTGGGGATCCAATCCAGGGCTTTATGCAAGCTAGGCAAGCACCCTACCAACTTCTCAGCACATTCTTTCCAAAATTTTTTGATTGTGCAGTTTTTAAAGTTAGGCCTGGGTTTTGTCAATAATAACTTCGTTTGAGAACTGACCATGCCAGGTGGCTTGTTATATATACTTAGAACTCTGTTCCAATTAACTCACCAAAATTCTAGGATCCACACATTGGAATGCTCTGCCCATGCTATATATTAAAAGTGTGGAAGGCTGGGAGGTGGCACATGCCTTTAATCCCAGCACTTGGGAGGCAGAGGCAGAGGCAGGAAGATCTCCGTGAGTCTGAAGCCAGCCCGGTCTACAGAGCTAGTTCCAGGACAGGGAGGGTTGCTACACAGAGAAACCCTGTCTCGAAAAACAAACAAACAAAAAAGTGTTGAAACTCAAAAACTAAGTAACAGGTTTAGGGTCGCAGTATAGCTGTAACACCCATTCTCTTGAGCATGCATTTCTCTCAGCAGACTGATGAAATAAATGTCCTTTTGCTGCGCTGGTAGCTCAGTTATAGCACTAGGGAAGAGGGATGGAAGCGGGAGGATAGTTAGCTACAAGGCAGCTTGGGTTACATCTCAAAAAAAAAAAAAAAAAAAGAAAGAAAGAAAAGAGTCGATATGTTTTACATACATGTTGCTATAATACATAAATACAATGCTCCCGAACTCATTCACAATCCCGGGTCGCCTCGGATAAAAGTGACACAGGAGAGAAATGGAACGGTAGGCACCCCCAGAGAAGGCCCACAAATGAAGAGCATCCCGGGGGCAAATTTCTCCAGAACGCATCTGGAAGCCTTTAAATAATTCCGAGGGTCAGAAGGCCTCATATAGGTCTTTACCCAACTCAGCCCAGCTTCCTCAAGAGAAGCCCCAGGGTTCCTAGCTCCGGCTGCCGGTGCAGACCAGGGCGGGGCAGGTCGAGTAGCTCATCTCTCAGCTCTTGCTGAGAGAAGTGCGGCCTGCTGCGGAGGGGGATAAACCTACTTCCTGAGCAGCCAGGCTGGAGCTGGGGGAGGGGATATAGACCTCTGAATCCACGCGGAACCGCAACGAGAAACTTCCAGAGAAGCGTGCTTTCGCCCCCAGAATCCAGGTTCAACGTCCGTTACCCCTTACACAGCCTATTCCCAGCTGCAAACGTGCTTCTTTAATGCTTCCCAAACTCTGAGCTGCAGTACCGCACTCTTCCAAGCGTGAACCCCAAAACAATCTGTAAGGTGGCGTAGACACTCCACACCAGTGGGACAGCAGCGACTGGTAAGAAAACGGGGTTGCTCACCGACCTGGAATCCGTGGCCTGGCCTGGAACAGTGCCGAGGACTTGCAGCCAGCAGACTCTTAGCACCAAAGCCCAACTCAAGGCAAAAGGGGAGGGGTTGGCGGATGAGGCGGGGCTGCCTCTGGGCAACTTGGGACAGTCTGAAAACCAGGGACCAAGCCCAGGAACAAAAAAGCTTCTAGGGAACAGTAAGTGTTGATGCCTATGAGAACACTATCATTTGAGACTTAAGCTTTACCGTCATGTAAGTGTTTAATACACCTGCTTGCGCTATCAATATACTGAAATGTCTAGAGAATAAAAGGTTAGCGGCAAGGTGGTGGTGCATGCCTTTCATTCCAGCACTGGAGGGGCAGAGGCAGGCGGATCTCTGTGAGTTCCAAGATAGAGAAACACTTCCTTGAACACCCCCACCCAAAGAATAAAAGGTTTAGCCATGTAATTAAATGGTGACTGCATTTGACGTATCATTAAAATCTATCAACTTTAAATTACAACGTGTGTTGGTAGAGAGACCTGTGTGCATCTGTTATTTTAGTGCACAGAACAAAAAGACCATCTACCTTTTTTAAAATAAGATTTTATTTATTATGTACACAGTGTTCTGTCTGCATGTTTGCCTGTACACCAGAAGAGAGCACCAGATCTTATTTTTAGATAATTGTGAGCTACCACGTGGTTGCTGGGAATTGAACTCATGACCTCTGAAAAGTGCTCTTAACCTCCGAGCCATCTCTCCAGACCCGACCATCTACCTTTTAATTTAAGTTTTATTATACATTACATATACAAAAGTTTAGCATTTAGGAACCGGGTTGTTGAATTTTTTTTTTTTTTTTTAAGGCAGAGCAGTTCTGAAAAGCAAAAGAATGACAAACTTCCTGGCCTGGGAGAATGACAAGTAACACCTGATTTTAGAGGGTGGTGGAGGAGCTGGCGATTTGGCTCAGTTGATGGAATGTTCGCTTAGCAAACTGGACTACCTGGCTTGCACATGTAATTGAGCAGTAGACTGCAAGACTGAGGCAGGAGAATCACTTTAAGTTTAAAACTAGCCTGGGCTGCAGAGTGATTTTACCTCAAAAAAATAAAACAAAATGAAAGACCAAGCCAGGAATATATGCACTTGGTGTGAGAAGTGGGAAAGTATGGTCCAAGCCTTTTTTTTTTTTAAGGCATAGTTTCTCTGTGTAGCCCTGGCTGCCCTGGAACTCACAATGTAGACCATGTTGGCCTTGAACTCAGAGATCCACCTACCTCTGCTTCCTGAGTAGTACTGGGATTAAAGGTGTGGGCCACCACTGCCTCTCTTTAAGCATTTTTAAGAATCATAAGAAAACAGAGAAGACAGGGCATTGAATGTCTAACATACATACATGGGTCAGTGTTTCTTTTTGAGAAAGGGTGATGTGATATATATGTGTATGCACACATGTGCAAATGGCATGCATGCATGCACACATACATATTCAGGTTGACTTTGAACTTGCTATACAATTGAGGATGGTCTTGAATTGCATATCATTCAGCTTCTGCTTTTGTAGCACTGGTATTGGAAAAATGCACCACCTCAACCAGTTAATGCTGTGCTGGGGATTGAACCCTGTGCATTTGTCAAGTATTCTGCCAATGAAGTTAGCCTCTAGGAGAGATGTATGATCAGCACAAATAGGGGTTGTCTTATGGAAGAAGAATTCAGCAAGGTCTCAAAGTCAGGGGTTGTAGAATAAAAGGATCTCAGAATTGTGGTTTTTCCAGATTCCTGTGTTTTACACTCCCTTGATTACTCCACACTTGGTTGTTGAGTTACGTTTGCCTTCTGTTTGTTTCTTCAAATTTCAAATCAATTCTCAGAATTATAGCTTTCTTACTATTCTGTTTCATTATCGTTGAAGGAAGTTCTAGGGCTTTGCTCTTGGTCCTTAATACATCTTTTAGCCTTGTTGATTGTGCATATCACAGGACTTGGACTAGCTCACCATAGGTTATAAGCCATGTACCATGAAGAGTACATTTCAGTTACTTCATAGTACAAGGGAGTGGGGCTTTAAAAAAAATCTCACCTGCAGGGACACTGGAGCTGGAGTTATAGGCAGTTGTGAACTGTGTGTGACAGTTGTGAACTGTGTGTGATGTGGACCCTGGAAATCTTGATTCTCTGGAGGAGCAGTAACCCCTATCCATCTCTCCATCCTTTGAAGATAATTGTACAATGTAAAAGTCACACATGTACCACATCCTGTTCTTCATTGTGATATAGCCTATGATCACATAGGTGTACTCTTTGCTCAGTGAACTGAATCCATGTAGAAAAGCCAAGCATGATGGTAGGCAGTTGTAATTCCAGGGCTGGGTAGGCGGAGGTGGGGACAGATAGTTCCTTGACGCTTGCTGGCCAGTATCCTAATGGGCACTCTTGTGGCCAATGAGAGACCCTGCCTTAAAAACAAGGTGGATGGCATTAGAATGCTAGCTGAGATTGTCCTCTGACACCCCCCCCACACACACACCTGCACACACAGGAACACATACATGACATAAAAGTATTGAAAATAAATTAATCACTTTCTGTCCAAACTTTCAAATACAACACATATATGCCACAAGTCTGTCTTTGAACTGCTTTCCTATACACCATATGTTACAATTTCAATTTCTTATATTCTTAGAATTCTTTATTTTACATTTTTTCTTAATATATTGGGGGGGAGGCCGAGGTTGATATTGGGAATCATATTCAACCTCTTCCCTACCTTAGTTTTGGATAGTGTCTGTCATTGAACCTGAGCTGGCTGATTGGTTAGATTAACTGGCCAGTAAGTATCCTGTGTCCACCTCCTCAGATCTAGAGTTACAAGTACACACCCACACAAACACACATTGCTGTTTTTACACAGGAGATCCAAACTGGGGATCCAAAGTTAGGTTCTTGTACTAATACAGGAGATGCTATACCCACAAAACCATCTCCCTAGTCCCATATTGTCTGTAGTTTTTGTTGTTGTTTGTTTGTTTGAGACAGGTTCTCACTATGCATCCCTGGCAGGCCTAGAACTCTCTATGTAGTCCAGGATGGCCTTGAACTCACAGTGATCTTGCCTGCTTCTGTGCTGGGATTAAAGGTGTGCCCCCTGTTATTCAGGCATCTGTACTGGCCTGTCCTTGGTGTTCTGACCCTCAGCTGCAGCCCTCACCTGTGCATATTCACTATGTTCCCTATTAAAAGTGCCCTGCCCACCTCCCATCCTTCTCTCTCTCTTTCTCTCTCTCCCTCTCTCTCTGTCTGTTCCCCCCTCCTTCTTTCTTCTCTCTCCCCCCCATTCCTTTCTCCTTTCTCCTGTTGCTCCTGTCTCCACAGGCTGGTTCCTCCTCCCCCTTTTTATAATGCTTTTCCCTAATTAAAAAAAAAAAAAAACCCTCTGCTTGAACCCTGTTGCATGGTGTCTTTCTCACACTTCTTTTCTTGCTTTTCTTAACTTACATCATCATTCCCCTAGTATACTTTTTTGGAGTGGATTTCCAAACAGGGCTTTTCTGTGTAATGGTCCTGGCTGCAGACCAGGCTGAACTACAACTCTTCTGTCTCCTGAGTGGGATTACAGGCCACTGCCCAGCTCCATGGTATTCTAATTTTTTTTTTGGATAATTTTTTAAAATTTAAATTTGAAACAAACTTGTTCTACCTGTCAATTCCAGTTCCCACACCTTCCCATCCTTCCCTGTTCCCCTCACCAACCCCAGGTCCCTGTTATTCTTAAAGGTAGTAATTTTCTATTTTGAAACACTTCTGTTCATGTTATGAAACTTCATGAAGTGATATTTTTTTCTTTTATTATTTTACAATAGTTTTCATTAGTGACATAACCCAACCTCTTAAGTTGTTGAGAAATAGGCTGTACGTAGTAAACTAACTCCTAACTCTGTCTTAGACTGAACTTCAATCCAGGCCAGTATTTCTCTAAATTAGCCTAGTCAATTACTTCTCAAAAATATTTCCATTCTGAAAAAAGTATTATGTATAAAATGCAATAATATGTATTTAATATATTGAATGTAAAATGTTCAATTCCTTATAGGTATGTGCCTCACTGGAAAAAAAAAGTTGGTAGAATATTATTTCCTAAAATCAACCTGAATATTAGACAATAGAGAGGACAGAAGCTTAATCAAAGCTCACATTTTCTCAGGCAGAGCGTGCTCTTACAGTTCCAGCAACTGACCTGTCTTTATCTTAGCCTGCAATGACACTCACTGTGCCATGAAAAACAGGCGACCCCCTTTACAAAAGAAGTGCACTAAAGTGATTTGACTTCATCTTCAGACCACTGAATCAATATAACTCCAACAGCCAAACAAATCTTATTTGTAGCTCTCTCTCTCTGTCTCTGTCTCTGTCTCTGCCTCTCTCTCTCTCTCTCTGTGCTTTTATCTGTAATAAAATGGCTTCATCATGATCTGTCCTGAACTATTCTGTGTGATGAGAATTCTGGCTTCACCTAAGGTCTGGGAAAAGTCTGCTTTCTATATTTGGCAGCAATAGAAACTTCTATTCTGTGATTGAGAGGGGATGGATCTACTTGCATCGTTGGGAACAAGGGAGAGGTTAGTGCATGATATGTAAGACATAGGCTAGCCATGTGCTACCAAGGAAGTCTTCAGAGCTTTGCTTTGACTTTAAAGAATGGAAAATCATTGAAAATCAGTTTGCAGTTTGAACACTGAATCTATTTCAGCCACAGAAATTTGGGGAAAAAATGCAAAAAGTAAATTTAAAAATGAATGCCTATTTATGAAGTATATTCACTCATGGAGATGTAGCTGAAGAGCTAGTTGAATTTGAGATAGTTAAACCATAAAAATAGGACAGTGTGGTAGGTGTCTGAATTAAGAGGGAAAGTGGGGGAGATGGGATGACTCCTGAAGGGACACTAGCCCACTGGGGCATGTGACTTTGAGAGGCCTTGATCAATTCCTCTGCCTTACTAAAAACCCTTAGGTTACATTTCTAATGCTAGCCCCTAGGTCTATTCCTTTGTTTGTCTACTTCCTCCTTCTGAGGCTGACTACCAAGATCCAGCTATTAGTCTAGCAATCAAAAGCTCCCTTTGGCTCACCTAATTAACATGCCCAATTAAAATTAAACACCTCATGCAAATACATTTTACTTTTATAAACCACCATTGCCTATAGACCATGTCTGTCTCCTCTATCTAGAGGCAGTCCTTTGTTCCCTGGGACAAATACTCTCTAGCCCTCTCCCTTGCCACTTTTCTACCCTCTCCCTTGTTCCTGTTCCCTTTTCCCTCTTTTCCTATCTCCTGTTTTTGTACCTTACCGCTACCTTATGTCCCTCTGGGGCAAACAAATCTCCTTACTTGGTCTTGAGGGTCCAGAGCCAATACTTTTCCTTTCAATGTCTGATTTTTAGCACTGAAAATACAAAAAAAAAAAAAAAAAAAAAAAAAGCAGAAAGATAGACAAGATTTTTTTTATTTTTTATTTTTTATTTTTATTTTTTTTTTATTTTTTATTTTTTTTTGGTTTTATGAGACAGGGTTTCTCAGTGTTGGAGCCTGTCCTGAAACTCACTCTGTAGACCAGGCTGGCCTTGAACTCACAGAGTCCTGGCTGCTTCTGCCTCCTCAATGCTGGGATTAAAGGCTTGTGCCATTGCTGCCTGAATTAGTCAGTCTTGGGTGAATTTAAGGAGAGTTGTTCTCCATTGTAGCAGGCTGGGCTGATATTTGGTGTTAATAATTACTGATAAGTGACCAAGTTATTAAGCCATACATCAGTGCTTATATTTATTTAACTAATAACTAAATAATACAGAAGTCCAAAGACATTAGATACAAGTAGATATTGCATATTTATGAACTTGCATCGTTGCTAAGAAGCAAAAATATCATCTCATGGGACTATAAATATTTGGGTATGAAAGTTCTCTGGGGTTACCATAAGGAATATGTTGAACCAGCACATAAATGCCAAAACTATACAGAAATAATTAAGAAGCTATTGAGGAGCCAATCGAATGGATGTTGAATAAAGTGGTGTTTAGATGGTAAATTCAGAGTAAGTTGTCATGTGTCTCTCAGTTACTAAAGTGATAGGGGAAGAGACTACGTTTGAAGAATATGCGAGAATGGAGTGGGCACTTCTATAGTTTTTTTTTAAAGAAAAGCAAGCTGAGATTGGTTTGAATAAATGACATTTTTGGATAAATGGGGACATGGGTGAGAATCATATAGGGATAACTAGAAAGTGTAGATGTGAGGGTACAGTAAACACAGGGCATATGATAAATAAAGAAACAGAATCAGTTGAGGCCAAATTGTGGGTATTCATTTAAATTCTTTGGTTGTGCAAACATTTGCTTAGCTCCTTCCAATATCTGCTTTGCCCTCTCTCCATAAATCACAGGATTGAGCATAGGTGGGAAAACCACATAGAGGTTGGCTAGCAGGATGTGGATATAATGTGGGATGTGTTTCCCACCAAACCTGTAGGGAAACACAGAGAAGAGGGCAGGGATGCAGAACAGTAAGACGACACAGACATGGGATCCACAAGTAGTCAGGGCCTTGGACTGGGCTTCTTGGGAAGAGAGGGGAATATAGCGTGGAGGATGTGGACGCAGGAAACAGCAATGGGAATGATGTCCAGGTCTGTGGAGAGAAGAGCAGCTGCCATCCCATACCAGACATTGATGGAAATGTCAGAACAGGACAGATGGGCAATACCCATGTGCTCACAAAATGTGTTTGATGACATTGATCCAGCAAAAGTGCAACCCCTTGAAGAGAAAGATGGATGGGAACATGATTATAAAACTGCGGGTCAGGGTAGCAGCAACAATCTTTCCTATGACCTGTCTTGTCAGGATTGTGGTATATCTTGGAGGAGAACATATTGCCACATATCTGTCAAAAGCCATGGCCAGCAGGACAGCAGAGTCAGCCACGAAGAGGAAGTGGATGAAAAACATGAGTCAGGCAGCCATGGCTCTAGTCAGGAGACATGGCTAGAACCTAGCCAGAAGTTGGCCACGGTCTTGGGCATGGTGGAGGTAGACAGCAGGACATCAGCACTGGCCAGCATGGACAGGAATATGTACATGGGCTCATAAAGGCTTGGCTGGGAGAGGATGACACAGATTAGGGTGCCGTTGCCTGCCAGGGCAGCTATGTACATAGTACAGAAGGGAATGGGCAACCACTCATGAAGATGTTCCAGCCCAGGGATGCCAGTGAGGAAGCAACCTGCTGTGCGAGTATCAGAGTGGTTCATAGCAGCCTCTCTGTCAGCAGGTAAGAGCCAGTGTCATAGAAGGAAACCATGTTCAGAGTTTGACCACATTCAGCAGGGTGTAAGCAGGCTTGTAAACAGACCAGCTCATGCTCACACGCCCTACCACAATCAAGGGCTCAGCATATAAGCCCATGTCCCACACACAAAAACTCAGAGAATCTACTCACGGTGCACCATTGCAGGCCTTTCTCACAGATCAGCTCTGCATCCTCCTTCAGGAACTCTATGCAGTTGTCAAACTTTCTTGAAGCTACCGAGTTAAGGCATATTAAATGGGTTCTGAATGGCACCAACATCTAGAACACTGAAAGCAATCTCTAGAGCTGCAGATGTATCAGAGGTAGACATAACCCATCAGCTTCTAGATAAATGATAAAACCTGAAAACCACTAATGGGCCCCAGAGGTAGTTAAGTGCAATGGTTGCTCTTTCAGGGGACTAGGGTTTGATTTCCATGCATATGATGATTTAGATCATTTACATTATAAGTAACTCCATTTCCAGGGGATCTTACTCCCTTTTCTGACCTCTGCTTGCTTGTGTTTTTTATACATATGTGCAGTGATGCACTCATACATATAAAGCAACTTTTAAAAAAGCTAAAAGAACATTAGTATTTTTTTTTATTGACTGAGAAGCTTCATTATTTTGTGAATAAATCTAGGTGTGATGAAAAAAAAATATTGTCCAATTTGTACCTGCTTTACTTCTTTGTAACTGGAAGATTTATTTAAATATTATTTGTAAAAATGTTCCTATCGAAATTGGGATTCTAAACAGCAACTTTTATTTCTCTGTTTTTAATTTCACTTTATTTTATGTATATGAATGTATGCCTGAGTGTACTTCTGTCAACTTTGTTATTGTCTGGTGCTCATGGAGGCCAGAAGAGGGAGTCAGGTCCACTAGAGTTACAGATGGTTGTGAAGCCACATGTGGGTGCTAAGGATTGAACCCATGTCCTCTTGAAGAGCAGCAGTGCTGTTAACTCCTAAGCCTTTTTCTTTCCTGCTCCCAAGTCTTTTATTTGTTTTTTGTTTTGTTTTGTTTATTTAAATATGGGTGATGGGCATCAAACTCAGGTCCTCATATTAGTATAGGAAACCCTTTACAAACTGAGCTATCTCCCTGGCTCTCATTTTGTAAGTTTTTAGGATAAGCATAATTTTACATTGTCGGCACATTAAGTTAAATTTCATCTGTTGAAGCCATTAAGTCATCTGGCCTGGCCCCAGTCCCTTGTGTGGCTTGCAGTATGGTATTACTGCCTAGTGCCAGAAGGAAGGTATGTCATCATGTTTCTGCAGTATGATCCCCAGATTCCTGGCATTAGTATCATCAGGGAACATCTGAATTCTTTGGCCTGAATACCTGCTGACCTTGAAAATATGGGCTGAGAGATAGCAATCTGTGCTTTGATACCCTTAGGTAATTCTGACGCAGCTGAAGTTCATGACCATTCATCTAAGGACTGTGCTTTCTTCCTTATGGAGTCTAGATGTCCCCACTTCTGCAGGCATCATTAACTTTTCACACTTCCTTGATTTCTACTGCATCATCCTTAAGCATGCTCAGACTTAGTTGAGTCTAATTTCACCCTCAGCTTAGGCATGACACAAAGAAAATGGTACCTGAACTCAATGTCCTAACTACATATTAGGTCCCTTGAATGCTTTTCAATCCTTTAAAATTATCCCAAATCAACATGCAATTCAGACTACTGTCTGAATCCTGCCTCTCTTCTATTTTTATTATGTATATCTATGTGAATGTATGCCTTATGTGTGCATGTAAGTGTGAAGAACAAAAGAGGGTTTTGGGTCCTTGGAACTGAACTTACAATTGGTTGCGAGTACCTGGCATGGGTTCTGGGAATTGAACCGGAAGAGCAGTGTGTACTCTTCATTGTTGAGATATTTTTCCATCTCCCACAATTTTTATGTATAACAATTATCTGTTTATACATGCATGCGATACTCTTACAGTTTTCTCCTTTCAAACTTGTGTGCCAGTGAACCTGCCCTCTTCCTCCTCTGTAGCACTATGTGTATTCTGGTCCCTTTACTTTTATTGTATTAATTAAGAAAGTCTAGATCTTTTTTATGCATAAATATTTTTCTCATCTCTAGAGTGACTACCGTTGAGACAGTAGTAGTAGGTAGTAGTAGTAGGTACTTTATAATCCTACATTCATATTTTCTCCTCACTTTCCACCACCCCTATTCCTTTCTTTTCTCTCTTAGCACACTGGCACATTTTTAGTGGTAGTAGATGATATGCTTCCTCAGAGGATAAGAAAATAGGTGTGTTCTGCTCATTCAGCCAAGTTCCTAGTGATGAGAACGCCCATGGCCACCACAGGACTGGTGGGTTTATGATCATAGTTTCTCTACTCTGTCCTTGTCTATGCTTGGCGCCATTTGAGATCATTTTTTCCACAGTCATCTACTGCTGGTGTCCACCTTGTGGGTGACATCAGCACAAGTGCCAACCTTCTTCTCCACCTTGGATGCTGTCTTCTCCTCCAAGACAACCAGAACTCCTTGCATCTCCCTCTATTCTTGTGATCTCTGCCCTCTAGTTCAGGTACCCACTGACCCATACCTCACCCCTACCTAGCAAGTCCAGCAGCCCCACTTCAAACACCAATCAAGTAATTCTTTTTTTCAGATCCTCTCTCTTCATATGTCCAAGACTCTTACTTATGTACCAATTCCTCCTCCTGTAACATCAGAACCTCCTCTCCCTTTCAGGGAGTCTCCTCCACCTAAACATTTACTAGAGTAGAACCAGAAGGGAGGTAAACTCTTCAGAGTAAACTGTGTAGACAACAGGCTTTATTTTCTTTCTCTTAGCTCTAGGCCAGAGACAGAGACCCAAATCAAGCAATGTGAATGCTACGCTACTGATTTCACACTCTCCCCCAGGCCCCATGCTTCCTTATCCTGGCTTCTCTGTTTCCTCTTGCAGGCAATAGATTCCCTGTTTAGATCACATTTATTACAAATGTAGGCAGGTCACTGAAACCTGTCTGCCATCCTCTTATTCCTTGTTGATTTCTTAACCAATGAAAGTGGGCCCTAAAGCTTTCTTCTCTCCTTTCTTCTAAGCTCCAGTACAGTGCATGTGTTCCCCTTTGCAGAAATTCAGACAGCTACCCACCTATGTCTCCATCCTCACTTGAAATGTGATCCCCAAATTACTCTCCCCCAGAAAAATACAGCTCATTCCACCTACCTCCACCCCTCTCTGAAGAGCACCCAGGTCTTGGACACTTCTGCAGTGTTTTCTCACTCTTCTGCCTTGACAGTTTCCTCCACTTGAGAAACCTCTTCAAGGCTTACCATTCCCTGTGGTAAGTCTTGCCTTCTGATTCAGTTTCTCAGTTCACACTTTGTATGGATATGGTCTTGGGCTTACCTCACGGTGTTTATCTCTTCATGTCCTCTGGGAGAAGTTAATTCTGTTTTTGTGTATCCCTCTGTTCCTCACCTTCAGCTGCCTCTTCCATCATTTGGACCAATCTGAGGCCATGCCAGTTAACACAGGTATCTATTGCACATGCACAAGGGTAGTGCTGGCATGGAGCCAAATGGAGTAGAATGTTTCTGGTAGATAGGATAAAATATATGATGAGTAGAGAGGGGGACCTGGCAACAACTCAGGCTCTTGGCCCCACTGGTTTTTTGTTTATTTGTTTGTTTTAACTTTACTTGCTTTTCCTGTTCTAATGTTACTCCTTTTCCTGATGTCAGTCTTACTTTTTGTCCTCTCTAATATTCTTCCTGAAGCATTTTCTTCCAGTGCTTTTCCCAATTATTTTCCTCATGGCTTTTCAAGCCCAAGTTTATCTTTTGAGGCAGGATAGAAAGTCAAGGAAAATTAAGAGTGCCATGGATTGGAATGGGAATGCCTGACTCCAGAGTCTGGTTGAAGTTTCTTGCCAACTGAAAATCCAGAATTCCAGTACAGTTAGCAAAGTTTCCTGGGAAGGTTGCCTACCCTAGAAATAGCTTTCCTTTTCTGTAGAAATATGCCAGTGTTCGGGAGGCAGAGGCAGGTGGATCTTTGAGGCCAGTCTGGTCTACAGAGAAAGTTCCAGGACAGCCAGGACTACACAGAAACACTGTGTCTCAAAACAAAACAAAACATTGTTAAATAGCACTGAACAGTGACTTTGGTATTGCTGCTTATGCAGACATTTTCTGGGAACCTTACAAACAAGACTATTAACTTTGGTTTACAATAAAAACATTCTAACTTCCCTTTCTGCCTCTTGATCTAGGGTGTTACCTTAGTAGCTGTGATTTTATTCAGCTCACCCTAGGACACACCCTATGATCTCACTTAAAGTCTTTAGCTATCTTTTGACATGCAACTTCAGAACCAACCCAATCCCCTCCCCCCTTTCACACACACACACACACACACACACACACACACACACACACACACACACACACACATACACATTTGTGTGCAGCTATTAATTACAAAAACAACCCAAGATTGCTCCTAAGAAGCCTAGCTAGATGGCTCAGCATTTGGGAGTGCATGCTGCTCTATCATGGGGACTGGAAGTCCTAGCACTCACATTGTGTAGCTCACAGACACCTCTAACTTCAGTTCCAAAGGACCAGAAGCCTCTGAAGTCACCTATGCACACACTCACACTGACACATCCTTTCTGTTTTTCAAAACAAGCCCATGCTGACCATTTCCCGAGTGCCTCTCTTTTAACCCTTGTGCTTACATCTATGTTAAAACATCTTCCTAATAAACCCTGCCTTATACTGACTTGGGCTGGAGTTCTTTTCTGTGGTGAAGACAAGAATCCCATCTTCACCTGAGTGGAGGCCCCTGTCTTGCTGCCGCTGACTCTCCACTTTAGTTCTCTTGTCCCCACTTCCTGGCCTAATAAACCACTTACACACATTTGTGATGGTGTGTACTGATTGTACACATCATGATCTTGGAGACAAATCTCTGGGCTGGCTTGTGAGGGACTTGCTAGATAAGGTTGAGATAAGAGGACCCACCCTACCTGACAGATTAGATAAGAAAAAAAAAAAAAAAAAAAAAAAAAAGTGACCTGACCTGAGCACCAGTATTCCTCTCCCTCTATTGTCCTGGCTGTGGACACAATGTGACTAGATGTCTTCAGCTCCTGCCACTGTATACCCAAGCCATAACAAGCCCTTCTTTCCTTAAGTTTCTTTGGTCTGGTATTCCATTGTATTAGCTAGACAACTAATGCAGTGTTTAAGCAACTAATGTGTAGATTCATAAGAACTGTTGTTTTATTCAAACATTTGACAGTGTGTTTTGTTTTCAAACAGGTTTCATGTAGTCCAGGCTGGCTTTGAAATCACTTGTATAGTTGAAGATGACCTTGAAGTTTTGATCCATTCTCCTGCCTCCACCTTGCAAGCAGAGGATCACAGGGGTGTGACACCCTTGTTTATGTGGTTTGGGGGATTGAACCTGGGGCCTTGTGTATACTAGGCTGGTATTCTACCAACCGAGATATGCCCTTAGTCAGTGTTGTTATTTTTAAGGTCATTTTGTTTTCTGGTCTGAGTTTTTCTCTCTTTCTGGTCAAAAGTTGAAAGCAAAACAAGCAAGTTCCTCATCTGCAGCAGTGGTACACCTCTCTCCTCTTTCCTGACTCCATCAGGCTCTGTTAGCTATAGCAGAGGGCCTGTCCACATTTCCCTTTCAGGTGTGCACCACCCTTTTGGATGGGCATCGACAGCACTATTTAGGTGATCCGTTGACCTACCAGCTGGGGCCAGTTGCTGCCGGGCTCTTCCCATCCTTCAGAAGTCCCATGTGATTTTGAAGGAAACCTTACCTCGCTCTCCAACCAGGATGCTGAGATCCCTGACACAGGGTATTGTGCAAAGAAAGTGTTTGTACATTTGTCCTGGTCTGGAGTATATTTTTATTTCATCAGAAGTTTGGGATGTTGAACTATGAGCAAACCTTGCGAATTGATTTATAATTCTATGGACATTAAGAGCATTTCATAGAGGTTTACCTGATTCTAGAAGTATGGAGAATTACTGATTTGTAAAGATGCTGACAATCTCAGAAAGGATTGAGTTCTGACAAAACTTTCTCAGGAAGGGAAGGTGTAGAAAAGGAGAGAAAGTATCCCTACCTCTTTTTTTTTTTTTTTTTTTTTTTTCCTTCATTTCATGCCTATGACAGAGATAGGGCATAGTGTGAGTATTTGACTTGTTTGGCCTTCAGTACATTATCCCCAGGATTAAGAGTCAGATGTGGGAATCTATGCATTAAAAAAAAAAAAATCTTTAGAATCTTTTTTTGTTTGTTTGTTTTTTGCTTTTTTTGAGACAAGGTTTCTCTGTGGCTTTGGAGGCTGTCCTGGAACTAACTCCTGTAGACCAGGCTGGTCTCAAACTCATAGAGATTCACCTGCCTCCCAAGTGCTGGGGTTAAAGGTGGTTGAGTTCTTCTGTCACCCTCTGCATATTTCTTTGAGGCTGGGTCTCTCCCTGAATCCGAGGCTTGCATTTTCTCAGCTAGGCTAGAATCCAGCAAGCTGCAACAATTCTTCTGACTCCATTCCCCTTGGAGCAGGTATTATCTGTGTGTATGTGCTACTTAACTTGTTGTGTGGATATTGCAATCTGAACTTTGGTCTGAATGTTTGAATAGCAAATACTCTTAACCTCTGAACCCTCAACTCCATGATTCTTGTTAGCTGCTTCACCCTGTACCCATCTTCATCTTACATGTGCACCCTTCTTTCTTCATTCCTTATAGCCACACACATAAATAACTGCCAAGCTTAGAAATTTGAATGATGATAAAAGATGTGACCAAGCTCCCCTCCC